ACCGCAAGGCTCTGAAGAAAAGATAGCGGCCCGCCCTCGCCCCTCAAGCACCGCCAAGCATCAGCTCTTGCCTGAGCTTTGCTTCGGATAATGCCCGAAGTTGATCATGCGACAAAGGGATGGACCTTCGTCGTTGGGTGTATCTCCGGATCTTGCGCTTTGTTCCGGTTGAAGCGTTGGCTTGCTTCATGTGGAGGAAGTCCACGTTATATGAGAAATAGTCGCTCCGAACGCCTAAAAGCTTGCTCCTTCCCTCGTGTCCACTGTTGAGCCATTCTTGGAAAGCATGCTCTAACATGGCTGAGCCGTCCTCAGACCACGGATACCAGCCATCTTCCTTCCCATCCACGCCATCATGAACCCAGTACTGCCAGCCCATCACACAATTCAAGAGGCGCAAATCAATCTTGGGCATCAGCTGCTCAAAGGACATCTCGTGTGGGCCAGCCTTGATGTACGGATTTGCGCCTGCCCGTAGAAGGGATTCAATTACAGCTGAAGCCTGTTCTGTCTTCCCGCTTTCCAGGCATTGTAGCGCGACGGTCGTCAGTGGCGTGTTTCCAGTCTGCATGTCAATCTCATTGGGTAGGGCGCCGTGATCCAAGCAAACCTTCAAAGGATCCACGCCGGTCTCGTTTGGCTCTGCGGCCAGGCTGCTCACCACTTCATTGATGATGGAGCTGTGGGATTTCGATGTGTCTACCAAGTCGGGATGCGCTTGGGCCCAGGTTTTGAATTCGTGCCAGTTCTTCTGGGTGATGATGTCCCAGACCGGGGGCAAATCGGCGAGCTCTAGCTCGATAACCCACTTGTTTGGGTTGTCAGGCTGGTCGTTCTTCTTGATGTTGTGGACCCGTAACATGTAATGAGGGGGGATCAGCACTTCATTCTCATCCGGGAAGCAAGACCATGGCTTGATAGATGCTGGAAAGTACCCCTGTATTTCGTTTGGGTCTTCTGTGCTGTCCCGGCAGCGGATGCAGAACGTCAAGCCCTTTGCAGTAAAAGCTTCATGTCCGCCCTTGTCCGCCTCGCTGGTGGAAAAGAAGGCCGGCCAGCAAACTTTCTGGTTGATTTGGTAGACTTCGGCTTGTTCCTTGGTGAGCTCGCATCCTTTCACGAGTTTTTTTGCCGAGCCAATGAAGAAGTTGAAGCCAGGCAATGGGTCGCTCTGCCCTCGCTTGAAAACCCCTCGCAAAGCCCGAATGTACGGCGCATGTCGCCTGAGTTCTTCAGCATCATCTGTGTACATCGCCTTGTCTGGATCGTCCAAAAATTGGGGGATCTCCAATCTCAATCTGTGAGCCATGTGGGGCACCACTTCAAGAAGGGAAACCCATGCATTGTGGAATAAGGACTGAGGCTTGATGTTGAACACCCCAGCCTTGTTGAGCCTGGGGTAGATTTTGTTTGAAGTGTAGAGCTTCACCAGCACCTAGCGGCGCGAAACGGTTTGAGACTGGAACCCCTCATCCGCCGAAAGGAGCCGTTGAAACATGTGCCACAGTCCCTTCCTGCAAATGGTTTGGGCGCCGCAACTTGATATTTCAAATCGCCCGTTTAGTGCAGGACTCAATACCCGAGTTGTAGCCAGGGCAAAATCCAAGTTTGGCGCATTGGAATCGCAAGGCGCGCTGGAGCCACAGAAAAGCAACGGGACCCCAGCCCCGCTGCATGAAGAGGTGAGTCACCAAAACTGACTGCCAACAAGCTGAAAGCATCATGGATCACTCGCGTATCCAAAAACCGTCGGCCGGAATTCATTGATTTGGAACAGACCCGCCGGCATCAAAACTTGGCCTTCTTGCGCTCCACAGGGTCGGCTGGGAGCTCCACCCCCACGCTGTCAAGAAACGCAGTCAGATTTTCCTCCTCCGTGTCCTCGTCAAAGAACTCCACATTTCTAATGAAGTTGTAGGTCATCCTGAAAGTGCAGCCAAAACTTCCCTGCGAGCTACCCTTCACTGTTCATGTTGAAGACGCTGGTGGAGAATGTGATTCGCGCGCGAATCTTCGAATCCCGAATCCCGAATCCCAAATCCGAGGCTGGGGCCTTCCCAGTCCTGAATCCCGAATCCCGAACTCCGAATCCCGAAAATGTGACTTCATCCCGCAATGCGATTAGATCCCAAAACTGCGCACGACCTCCGGATCACCACTCCCCAAGGACAATTTGTTGGAACCTTAGACGAGGTCTTCGAGCAAACCTGCCCAAAGCTACTGCTGACCAATTTGTTCTTCTGTCTGTCCATCTGCCTGCCTCATCCACGCACCGATTTCCGCGCGTTTGCGGGCGGCATCGGAAGAATACCAAAACTGCGTGGAAGCGATTTTGTGACTGACACCCGAAAGCTTGAAGGGGACGTTGTCAATCACACATTGGACGTTTGAAAGCTAATTTCGCACTGTGACTTACAACCCGGTGATTCAAGGTGACTTTGCACATCGTGAATAACATGCGAAAGATTAAAGGTGATTCGATGTGAATGGAAGATGTGTTTGAGTCAATTTTGGGAAGAGCCCTTCGCAACAAACTTACACAAAACACGATCCAATGAAATCAATGCCTTTCAAAACAACACCAACACCAACAACACAACACAAGATACAAAGCAATAAACTTGCTGGTGCCCAGTTGTTGGGAATGAACCCAGGGGTCCCTTAAAGGAAACCACCAGTTGGATTGTTTTTCCTGAATTCCTTCAATTTCTCCTGAGCACCAGAAAGGAACGCATGCAAATCATCACACATCATGACCAAGTATTAAAAAAAAAAAAAAACACCTCAGATCGCCTCAGCATCAACAATCTAAAGCCAACAAAAACAAAAAGCAAGACCCGCCAAACGCCATCCGCAAGATCACAAGATGCGGCGAGGTGCCCACTGGTGGCCTTCTCGGACGGCACCACGGGGCCCACCGCCAAGCGCCGCACCTCCAGGCCTTCCTGGAAGGGAGTTCTTTTTGTTTGTTTGTTCTACTTTTCTTCTTTTTCCCCAACAGCTGAAAGCTTTGGGGTCTCAGATAGGCTCCGGGTGGTTAAGGTTACACGAGGGTTCCACCAGGGTTCCACTGAGGTTCCACGAGGGGCTGCGTGGTGGTGCGGGCACTAAAAAGAGCACCGCGTGCTGTTGGGGATATAACCTGAGTTCTTTTTTTCCGGTTTGTTTCTTCGGCCAAGAAAAACGGGCCCAGCGGTGGCAGTCTCCAGGTTAAGCCCAAAGACCCAAAAACAGTCTCCACAGGGCGTTGGGCGACTTTTTCTGGAGGATCTCCTGCTTTCACTCTTTCTTGTTGGATGTTTTGCCGAATGGAATGGATCTAAGGCACTGAGTTGGACCTCGCCCCACACGTGACAATTGGGACATGGTTCCCGCTAGTTCCCCGTAAAACGCAAAACGCACCCCCCCCCCCATTTACAGGAACGCCAATAAATCCCACCCTTATCTTTATCATGGGATTTCTCTTGCTGGCTCTCAGTGAGAATTTTGAGTGAGAATTTCCCAGGAGAGGGGGCGGGGCAACCACGACTAGGTCGCGGGGTAACCACGACGAAGAAGGAGGAGAAGGAGAGGGAAGGAGAAGGAAGCGGAGGTAAGGAAGAGGAGGGAAGGAGAAGGAAGAGGAGGGAAGGAGGAGGAGGGAAGGAGAAGGAAGAGGAGGGAAGGAGAAGTTTCAAACACGGTGCGAACGGTGTTTTCGGGACCCAAAAATGCGTTTTCGGGACGCAAAAATGCGTTTCGCCCCGTGTTTGAAACTTTCTTGTCGCCAGCATCCTGCGCTGTTCCATCTTTCATATTACAGTGGAAGGAGAAGAACAAAAAGCAAGAAGCAAGAAACACATGAAAGAAGACACATGAAAAGAACAAAAAGCATCCTTCCTTTTCCTTTCCTTCCTTCCTTTTTCTTTCCTTCCTTCCTTTTCCTTTCCTTCCTTCCTTCTCCTTTCCTTCCTTTTCCTTCTCCTTCCTTCGTTTTCCTTCCGATTCCTTCTCCTTCTTAGTTCCTTCCTTTTCCTTCCTTTTCCTTCTCCTTCTTAGTTGGTGTTACCCCCAAAGTTGGTCGAGGTTACCCCAAAGTTAGTCGGTGTTACCTGAGGCTTGTCGTGGTTACCCCCCTTCCTGCGCTTTCAGCTTCCTTGTTTTGCGTGGATCCATAACCGGCTGAACATCACTACCATCTGGCATTAGAAGCAAGGATTCATGATTGAAGAACCTGTTCTGTGACACCAAGCCCATCCCTTTCTTTTGGTCACTGTCAAGGGGTTGTTGAAGGGAAATCACCTTCAAAGGTGGCAACCCAAAACCCGCTTTCCCATGCTTCCTTGCCCGGCTCTTTCACCGCGTAGACCGTCAGAACGGAGCCCAAGCCCTTGACCCGATTCAAGCCATCGAAGCCAGGGCCCACCAAAATGTCGTCCATCGCTGCCAAGCCATGGTCCTCCTTCCCAGGGCTCAGCATTTCACTTTTGCTGGCTCTCGGGGAACGAGGGAAGCCGGTACCTAAACCATCCCTTGCGGTTCCTGGCATTTTTGCGGCTTTCTGATAAGTTGGGGGAAACACGCCACCACCCCGGGAAGGCTGAGATGGAAGGGGTTTGTTTGAGGAGTGATATGTTCGGGGGTTTGGTATGACTGGCTTTATGAGGATTGCTGCCATTACCAAAGATGCGCCCAGAAATGAGGGCCGGGTGAAACGATTCAAAACTAACGCCCAGTCCCGATCAACCTCCATTCTGCAGCTCAATGTCGGGTCCGACCGAAGCGTGTGGGTAACCACGGACTCGTTCATTGCTGCCTGCGATGCCCGCGCAAAGCGAATGCCAACGCGTAGCATGCACATAACATAAACGACACACGCACCACACGGCGACAAGGGCGAGCCATAACAAAGAGCGAGCAAGATACACCGCAGGCAAAACAACACGCGTCTGACTGATGTGAAGAAGCTGGGCAAAATGTAGCGTACGCAATCACCAAAAGGCATCCTACAATACAACACAAACGATGCCGTACATAAAGCAAACTCGCGATGCACATATCACGTGGAGTGCAACTGCAGAAGAGATCACACTCATCCTGGCTCCCTTTCTTGCAAATGTCGACTTCTTGACAGCTATGGCGACTCTGGCAGGCTGAAACTTACCCTGCGCAGATTGGATGCACCCTCTGGCTTGCGCGAGTGCGAGCGCCCAAATGCAAGTTCGTGCTGCATCCTCTGCAAAGAAAGTGTTGGCGCGCAAAACTGGGAGGAGACAACCTATCAATCTCCCTCCTGCAATCGCCAAAGTACACCCCAGCGCCTCGCTGCCTTGCCCAGCATCACAGAAACGAGAGACGCGCAGTCAACTTGATGTACAAAGACCTGACGAAAAAGGAAACACCAACGAAATCCAAGCCATGTTCAATCTCGCAAATTATGGACTTCGGATTGAAATTGCTGACGCATTATTTTCGCACAGGGCCTTTGTATTGACAACGTCGAATGCTTGCAGGTTGTCCGCTGAAGTGGCGCGCTCGCGCTTGAAATGTACTTTTCTTGAGCGGGTGAGGGACAGATTCGGAGTGCAAGTTTTGAAAGAACTCCAAAACATGCAATTGGGAGCTAAGTAAGGAAGTTCATCATGAGTGAACTCGTGTTACCCCGGAACCCAGGATGAAATCCCTGGCTTATTAAACAAAACAGGCGTCTCACTTCAGAAAAGATCCGGAGCAGGTTTTAGGGGAACATCCTCCCTAGGGCCTTTGCATAAGTTCACCCTCTGGGCACATGCGCAGGACATGAGGGCACATGTGTCGCACTGCAAGCTGCACATTCGACTCATCCGACTCATCCAACCCTTCCTCACCCCACCCCGCACCCATCTTTGCTTCTCTAGAGGTCCACGACCATATTATGTCATGTTGCTTGCGGGAGTGATTTCACCGCGAATTGTCACAAGGGATTGTCACGATCCGTCACCGTTGAAGCGCTTCCAACTAGCAGCTAGCGATGGAGATAACTGCGACGGCGCCGCACTTCACCAGCATTCGCATCTTTCTATCTTTCCAACTCCGACGTGCGTGGCCTTTTGCGGTACATTCAAAGAGAACCCTCTGAGGACTTACGATCGCTCTCGCGCCACCTCCAAAACTCGCGAGCTCTGCTTGCTGACACCATCAATCTGGCTGCGGCTCAAATAAGGCACCTTGGTAAATGGAACCAAAGACTAAAACCTGCGTAACCCTAGCTCTTGAATTTTGAGCCACGCCCATCTTGCCCAGAAACGCTCAACCTTCACCTCTTGCGCTGAAACGGAACATGCAGCTTGCTGCACGCACACGCGGCAAGCAACACTGCTTGGATTCGCCTGGCGGGGTATTTGTTTAGCTCTACTCAGCTTGCTTGTTTGGGCCCGACCTGAGCTGGGGGTTGGGATGCTTCACGGTTTCTATGGTGCATGTACCTACCAGCTCATGACTCGTGACACTTATTCAAAAACTAATTTTCAGACAGCCCATACGAACAGAAAAAGGAGCAAGCCTGCCTGGATGTACTTCAAGTCCGACTTGCTTGCTAGGGCGCCGAACTCTGACTGCACGTACTGCGAGGCTGCAAGCCGCACTTGTTGCAGAGGGCCTTTGGATGGCTTTTCGGCTTCAAAGGGGAAGAGGAACACCGGGAAGCCGCTCACCGAAGTGTGCTTGTGGTACACTGGCACCTGCGGAACATGCGTCTCTGGTGACTCCTGTGACTTCTGCGACTCTGAGTGATTCTTTTGCCGGCTGAATAGAATCTTCGCAGCGTTCGTGGAGTCACGCTTCACCTTGGTGCTGAATCTCTTCACAATGTTCAGCTAAGTTCAGGCCACCCCCCCCCCCCTTTTTCAGGCTAACATGAACACAACGGGCAGCCCCAAGAGCAAGCAAGTCGCAATCTCCGCCCAAATCTGCCTCCGTGCCCCTGAGACCATTTCCGCCGAAATCTTGGCGAAGTCAACACCTCCGTCCAGCATATCGCTTGGCAGCGAGCATCCTAAAAGCTCGTGCTCAATCTGGGCTGCATAATCTAACAAGCTTTCCTCTTCCTCTGTGGGCTGCAACAAACAGCCCTTGTACATCTCCTGTAGCTGCAGGAACAGTTCATTCAACTCCTGGGAGACCATGCGTTTGACTTTCTGACTGGGTGTGGGAGACTCCATGAAGCAGCTTGGTGTCTGCAAGGGCGGGAATCCGCTCAGAGTACGGGCAACCGGTCCTGCCGCTCGCTTTGAACAGCCTTCAAGCAACACCTTTGCCGCATTGCTGAATTGCCCTGTCAGCCCGGTCAATTTCTGAATGTTTGCCCAAATCAGCTGTTGCGCCCTAGCAACCAAGTCCACTGCAGCTGCCGAATCAGCATCTGAAGCTGGCAAGTCAGATGCTTCAGACGCTTCCCGTAGGTAAGCAGCCCAAGCTGTCATCTCCTGCCCGACTTGGCTAGCAAATTCCAGAACTGCTGCTTCTTCCGGTGAAGCCTGAATCACGCAAACTGGCTTGTACATCTGCTGCAGCTGCAGGAAGAGAGCACATAACTCCTGGGAGACCACGCGTTTGACTTTCTGATGACTGAGCGTAGGAGGCTCCCCAGCAACCATGAAGCAGCTTGGTGTCTCCAAGGGCGGGAATCCGCTCAGAGTACGCGCAACGGGTCCTGCTGCTCGCTTTGAACAGCCTTCAAGCAACACCTTTGCCGCATTGCTGAATTGCCCTGTCAGCCCGGTCAATTTCTGAATGTTTGCCCAAATCAGCTGTTGCGCCCTAGCAACCAAGTCCACTGCAGCTGCCGAATCAGCATCTGAAGCTGGCAAGTCAGATGCTTCCGATGCTTCCCGTAGGTAAGCAGCCCAAGCTGTCAGCTCCTGCCCGACTTGGCTAGCAAATTCCAGAACTGCTGCTTCTTCCGGCGAAGCCTGAATCACGCAAACTGGCTTGTACATCTGCTGCAGCTGCAGGAAGAGAGCACATAACTCCTGGGAGACCACGCTTTTTACTTTCTGACTGAGCGTAGGAGGCTCCCCAGCAACCATGAAGCAGCTTGGCGTCTCCAAGGGCGGGAATCCGCTCAGAGTACGCGCAACGGGTCCTGCTGCTCGCTTTGAACAGCCTTCAAGCAACACCTTTGCCGCATTGCTGAATTGCCCTGTCAGCCCGGTCACTTCCTGAATGTTTGCCCAAATCAGCTGTTGCGCCCTAGCAACCAAGTCCACTGCAGCTGCCGAATCAGATGCTTCCGATGCTTCCCGTAGGTAAGCAGCCCAAGCTGTCAGCTCCTGCCCGACTTGGCTAGCAAATTCCAGAACTGCTGCTTCTTCCGGTGCAGCCTGAATCACGCAAACTGGCTTGTACATCTGCTGCAGCTGCAGGAAGAGAGCACATAACTCCTGGGAGATCACGCGTTTGACTTTCTGACTGAGCGTAGGAGGCTCCCCAGCAACCATGAAGCAGCTTGGCGTCTCCAAGGGCGGGAATCCGCTCAGAGTACGCGCAACGGGTCCTGCTGCTCGCTTTGAACAGCCTTCAAGCAACACCTTTGCCGCATTGCTGAATTGCCCTGTCAGCCCGGTCAATTCCTGAATGTTTGCCCAAATCAGCTGTTGCGCCCTAGCAACCAACTCCACTGCAGCTGCCGAATCAGATGCTTCCGACGCTTCGTGTAGGTAAGCAGCCCAAGCTGTCAGCTCCTGCCCGACTTGGCTAGCAAATTCCAGAACTGCTGCTTCTTCCGGTGAAGCCTGAATCATGCAAACTGGCTTGTACATCTGCTGCAGCTGCAGGAAGAGAGCACATAACTCCTGGGAGACCACGCGTTTGACTTTCTGATGACTGAGCGTTGGAGGCTCCCCAGCAACCATGAAGCAGCTTGGTGTCTCCAAGGGCGGGTATCCGCTCAGAGTACGCGCAACGGGTCCTGCTGCTCGCTTTGAACAGCCTTCAAGCAACACCTTTGCCGCATTGCTGAATTGCCCTGTCAGCCCGGTCAATTCCTGAATGTTTGCCCAAATCAGCTGTTGCGCCCTAGCAACCAAGTCCACTGCAGCTGCCGAATCAGATGCTTCCGATGCTTCCCGTAGGTAAGCAGCCCAAGCTGTCAGCTCCTGCCCGACTTGGCTAGCAAATTCCAGAACTGCTGCTTCTTCCGGTGAAGCCTGAATCACGCAAACTGGCTTGTACATCTGCTGCAGCTGCAGGAACACACCAATCCCGACCACGCTTACTTTCTGACTGAGCGAGGAGGGTAGCAACCATGAAGCAGCTTGGGCTCCAAGGGCGGGAATCCGCTCAGAGTACGCGCGAACGGGTCCTGCTGCTGAACAGCCAAGCAACACCTTGAGCATTGCTGAATCTGGTCAGCCCGGTCACCGAATGAAATCAGCTGTTGCGCTCCTAGCCCAGTCCACTGCAGCTCATGAAGCAAGCTTCAGGTGCTTGAATCACGCAAGGTGCCTGCTGCAGCTGCAGGAAGAGAGCACATAACTCCTGGGACACCACGCGTTTGACTTTCTGACTGGGCGTAGGAGGCTCCCCAGCAACCATGAAGCAGCTTGGTGTCTCCAAGGGCGGGAATCCGCTCAGAGTACGCGCAACGGGTCCTGCTGCTCGCTTCGAACAGCCTTCAAGCAACACCTTTGCCGCATTGCTGAATTGCCCTGTCAGCCCGGTCAATTTCTGAATGTTTGCCCAAATCAGCTGTTGCGCCCTAGCAACCAAGTCCACTGCAGCTGCCGAATCAGCATCTGAAGCTGGCAAGTCAGATGCTTCCGATGCTTCCCGTAGGTAAGAAGCCCAAGCTGTCAGCTCCTGCCCGACTTGGCTAGCAAATTCCAGAACTGCTGCTTCTTCCGGCGAAGCCTGAATCACGCAAACTGGCTTGTACATCTGCTGCAGCTGCAGGAAGAGAGCACATAACTCCTGGGAGACCACGCTTTTTACTTTCTGACTCAGCGTAGGAGGCTCCCCAGCAACCATGAAGCAGCTTGGCGTCTCCAAGGGCGGGAATCCGCTCAGAGTGCGCGCAACGGGTCCTGCTGCTCGCTTTGAACAGCCTTCAAGCAACACCTTTGCCGCATTGCTGAATTGCCCTGTCAAAGTCTGGCAAACCTCGACGTTTGCCTAACCCGCTGTTGCGCTCCATGTCCCCACCCCACTGCAGCTGCCGAATCAGATGCTTCCGATGCTTCGTGTAGGTAAGCAGCCCAAGCTGTCAGCTCCTGCCCGACTTGGCTAGCAAATTCCAGAACTGCTGCTTCTTCCGGTGAAGCCTGAATCATGCAAACTGGCTTGTACATCTGCTGCAGCTGCAGGAAGAGAGCACATAACTCCTGGGAGACCACGCGTTTGACTTTCTGATGACTGAGCGTAGGAGGCTCCCCAGCAACCATGAAGCAGCTTGGTGTCTCCAAGGGCGGGTATCCGCTCAGAGTACGCGCAACGGGTCCTGCTGCTCGCTTTGAACAGCCTTCAAGCAACACCTTTGCCGCATTGCTGAATTGCCCTGTCAGCCCGGTCAATTCCTGAATGTTTGCCCAAATCAGCTGTTGCGCCCTAGCAACCAAGTCCACTGCAGCTGTCGAATCAGATGCTTCCGATGCTTCCCGTAGGTAAGCAGCCCAAGCTGTCAGCTCCTGCCCGACTTGGCTAGCAAATTCCAGAACTGCTGCTTCTTCCGGTGAAGCCTGAATCACGCAAACTGCCTTTGTGCACTGCTGCAGCTCCTGCAGCTGCAGGAAGAGCGCACATAACTCCTGGGAGCCACGCGTTTGACTTTCTGACTGAGCGTAGAGGCTCCCCAGCAACCATGAAGCAGCTTGGCGTTCTGGCGATGGAATCCGTCAGAGACAAGGCAACGCACCGCTGCTCAAGCTGAACAGCCTTCAAGCAACACTTTTGCCGCATTGCTGAATTGCCCTGTCAGCCCGGTCAATTCCTGAATGTTTGCCCAAATCAGCTGTTGCGCCCTAGCAACCAAGTCCACTGCAGCTGCCGAATCAGATGCTTCCGATGCTTCCCGTAGGTAAGCAGCCCAAGCTGTCAGCTCCTGCCCGACTTGGCTAGCAAATTCCAGAACTGCTGCTTCTTCCGGTGAAGCCTGAATCACGCAAACTGGCTTGTACATCTGCTGCAGCTGCAGGAAGAGCGCACATAACTCCTGGGAGACCACGCGTTTGACTTTCTGACTGAGCGTAGGAGGCTCCCCAGCAACCATGAAGCAGCTTGGCGTCTCCAAGGGCGGGAATCCGCTCAGAGTACGCGCAACGCGTCCTGCTGCTCGCTTTGAACAGCCTTCAAGCAACACCTTTGCCGCATTGCTGAATTGCCCTGTCAGCCCGGTCAATTCCTGAATGTTTGCCCAAATCAGCTGTTGCGCCCTAGCAACCAAGTCCACTGCAGCTGCCGAATCAGATGCTTCCGATGCTTCCCGTAGGTAAGCAGCCCAAGCTGTCAGCTCCTGCCCGACTTGGCTAGCAAATTCCAGAACTGCCGCTTCTTCCGGTGAAGCCTGAATCACGCAAACTGGCTTGTACATCTGCTGCAGCTGCAGGAAGAGAGCACATAACTCCTGGGAGACCACGCGTTTGACTTTCTGACTGAGCGTAGGAGGCTCCCCAGCAACCATGAAGCAGCTTGGCGTCTCCAAGGGCGGGAATCCGCTCAGAGTACGCGCAACGGGTCCTGCTGCTCGCTTTGAACAGCCTTCAAGCAACACCTTTGCCGCATTGCTGAATTGCCCTGTCAGCCCGGTCAATTCCTGAATGTTTGCCCAAATCAGCTGTTGCGCCCTAGCAACCAAGTCCACTGCAGCTGCCGAATCAGATGCTTCCGATGCTTCCCGTAGGTAAGCAGCCCAAGCTGTCAGCTCCTGCCCGACTTGGCTAGCAAATTCTAGAACTGCTGCTTCTTCCGGTGAAGCCTGAATCACGCAAACTGGCTTGTACATCTGCTGCAGCTGCAGGAACAGAGCACATAACTCCTGGGAGACCACGATTTTTACTTTCTGACTGAGCGTAGGAGGCTCCCCAGCAACCATGAAGCAGCTTGGCGTCTCCAAGGGCGGGAATCCGCTCAGAGTACGCGCAACGGGTCCTGCTGCTCGCTTTGAACAGCCTTCAAGCAACACCTTTGCCGCATTGCTGAATTGCCCTGTCAGCCCGGTCAATTCCTGAATGTTTGCCCAAATCAGCTGTTGCGCCCTAGCAACCAAGTCCACTGCAGCTGCTGAATCAGATGCTTCCGATGCTTCCCGTAGGTAAGCAGCCCAAGCTGTCAGCTCCTGCCCGACTTGGCTAGCAAATTCTAGAACTGCTGCTTCTTCCGGTGAAGCCTGAATCACGCAAACTGGCTTGTACATCTGCTGCAGCTGCAGGAAGAGAGCACATAACTCCTGGGAGACCACGCGTTTGACTTTCTGACTGAGCGTAGGAGGCTCCCCAGCAACCATGAAGCAGCTTGGCGTCTCCAAGGGCGGGTATCCGCTCAGAGTACGCGCAACGGGTCCTGCTGCTCGCTTTGAACAGCCTTCAAGCAACACCTTTGCCGCATTGCTGAATTGCCCTGTCAGCCCGGTCAATTCCTGAATGTTTGCCCAAATCAGCTGTTGCGCCCCAGCAACCAAGTCCACTGCAGCTGCCGAATCAGATGCTTCCGGTGCTTCACGTAGGTAAGCAGCCCAAGCTGTCAGCTCCTGCCCGACTTGGCTAGCAAATTCCAGAACTGCTGCTTCTTCCGGTGAAGCCTGAATCACGGAAACTGGCTTGTACATCTGCTGCAGCTGCAGGAAGAGAGCACATAATTCCTGGGAGACCACGCGCTTGACTTTCTGATGACTGAGCGTAGGAGGCTCCCCAGCAACCATGAAGCAGCTTGGTGTCTCCAAGGGCGGGAATCCGCTCAGAGTACGCGCAACGGGTCCTGCTGCTCGCTTTGAACAGCCTTCAAGCAACACCTTTGCCGCATTGCTGAATTGCCCTGTCAGCCCGGTCAATTCCTGAATGTTTGCCCAAATCAGCTGTTGCGCCCTAGCAACCAAGTCCACTGCAGCTGCCAAATCAGATGCTTCCGATGCTTCCCGTAGGTAAGCAGCCCAAGCTGTCAGCTCCTGCCCGACTTGGCTAGCAAATTCCAGAACTGCTGCTTCTTCCGGTGAAGCCTGAATCACGCAAACTGGCTTGTACATCTGCTGCAGCTGCAGGAAGAGAGCACATAACTCCTGGGAGACCACGCTTTGTACTTTCTGACTGAGCATGGGAGGCTCCCCAGCAACCATGAAGCAGCTTGGTGTCTCCAAGGGCGGGAATCCGCTCAGAGTACGGGCAACGGGTCCTGCTGCTCGCTTTGAACAGCCTTCAAGCAACACCTTTGCCGCATTGCTGAATTGCCCTGTCAGCCCGGTCAATTCCTGAATGTTTGCCCAAATCAGCTGTTGCGCCCTAGCAACCAAGTCCACTGCAGCTGCCGAATCAGATGCTTCCGATGCTTCCCGTAGGTAAGCAGCCCAAGCTGTCAGCTCCTGCCCGACTTGGCTAGCAAATTCCAGAACTGCTGCTTCTTCCGGTGAAGCCTGAATCACGCAAACTGGCTTGTACATCTGCTGCAGCTGCAGGAAGAGAGCACATAACTCCTGGGAGACCACGCTTTGCACTTTCTGACTGAGCGTAGGAGGCTCCCCAGCAACCATGAAGCAGCTTGGCGTCTCCAAGGGCGGGAATCCGCTCAGAGTACGCGCAACGGGTCCTGCTGCGCGCTTTGAACAGCCATCAAGCAACACCTTTGCCGCATTGCTGAATTGCCCTGTCAGCCCGGTCAATTCCTGAATGTTTGCCCAAATCAGCTGTTGCGCCCTAGCAACCAAGTCCACTGCAGCTGCCGAATCAGATGCTTCCGATGCTTCCCGTAGGTAAGCAGCCCAAGCTGTCAGCTCCTGCCCGACTTGGCTAGCAAATTCCAGAACTGCTGCTTCTTCCGGTGAAGCCTGAATCACGCAAACTGGCTTGTACATCTGCTGCAGCTGCAGGAAGAGAGCACATAACTCCTGGGAGACCACGCTTTTTACTTTCTGACTGAGCGTAGGAGGCTCCCCAGCAACCATGAAGCAGCTTGGTGTCTCCAAGGGCGGGTATCCGCTCAGAGTACGCGCAACGGGTCCTGCTGCTCGCTTTGAACAGCCTTCAAGCAACACCTTTGCCGCATTGCTGAATTGCCCTGTCAGCCCGGTCAATTCCTGAATGTTTGCCCAAATCAGCTGTTGCGCCCTAGCAACCAAGTCCACTGCAGCTGCCGAATCAGCATCTGAACCTGGCAAGTCAGATGCTTCCCGCAGGTAAGCAGCCCAAGCTGTCAGCTCCTGCCCGACTTGGCTAGCAAATTCCAGAACTGCTGCTTCTTCCGGTGAAGCCTGAATCACGCAAACTGGCTTGTACATGTGCTGCAGCTGCAGGAAGAGAGCACATAACTCCTGGGAGACCACGCTTTTTACTTTCTGACTGAGCGTAGGAAGCTCCCCAGAAACCATGAAGCAGCTTGGTGTCTCCAAGGGCGGGAATCCGCTCAGAGTACGGGCAACGGGTCCTGCTGCTCGCTTTGAACAGCCTTCAAGCAACACCTTTGCCGCATTGCTGAATTGCCCTGTCAGCCCGGTCAATTTCTGAATGTTTGCCCAAATCAGCTGTTGCGCCCTACCAACCAAGTCCACTGCAGCTGCCGAATCAGCATCTGAAGCTGGCAAGTCAGATGCTTCCGATGCTTCCCGTAGGTAAGCAGCCCAAGCTGTCAGCTCCTGCCCGACTTGGCTAGCAAATTCCAGAACTGCTGCTTCTTCCGGTGAAGCCTGAGTCACGCAAACTGGCTTGTACATCTGCTGCAGCTGCAGGAAGAGAGCACATAACTCCTGGGAGACCACGCGTTTGACTTTCTGGGTGAGCGTAGGAGGCTCCCCAGCAACCATGAAGCAGCTTGGTGTCTCCAAGGGCGGGAATCCGCTCAGAGTACGGGATACATGTCTCGCCAGTCGCTTTGGACAACCTTCAATCAACACCTTCGCTGCGTTGGTCATTGTTCCTGGCAGAAGCGCCTGCATGGGTTCGGCGAGAGGTTTTGTTCAAACAGTTCTGTGTTGGTTTCCTTTAGGTGGGGTGTGGCTGTTTAAACAACATTTGCCACCAACCCTGCCTGCATTTGAGTGATGATTTCCCGCCATGAGGCCTTGATGATTTTGCGTGCCCTGTGAGACTGAACATGCCTCAGAATCCCAGTGGACGGTGAGGGAAACTGGCGGACTCCTTTTTGGGTGGTTTTAAAGGGAAACCCTGAGGAAATTAACTCTGGGCTGATCCCATGATTTCACCACTCTCAAAGCCACCCTCTAAGTGGTAGGTCAAAGGGTGACCACCCCAGTTTCTGATAACCCGAAACAGTCGACAAATAACCACTGGGGGGGAGCACCAACAAAAAACAGAAAACCAACCAAAAAAAACAGAAAACCAACAAAAAACAACGAAACCAACAAAAAACAGAAAACCGCGTGGCGCTGGACGCAACTGGAGCGCTGGACCTGCAGGACCTCCTGCAAATAGGCTGCCCAGGCATCCAGCTCCTCCCGCACCGGCGCGACAAACTCCAGAATGGCCTGAGTCAAAGGCCACCTGAAAATCTCAGTCCAACGGACCAAGAAATAAAAGGCTAACCTTTTGGAGCCAAAAGATGAACCAAAGTTGGCAAATGAGAGGTTCGGTTTTTGGCGCTCTTTGACTATAACCTTAGGCCCGAATCAAGCGGCGCTACCTCATGGGAATGGTTTTGGTTGTTGATGATAATTGGTTGCAACCCCGGCCCGCGGCGCCTTTGCCTCTGATTCACTCACTTCGATCAATGCGTCTGCATACATTTTTTGCAGCTGCAGGAAGAGATCGCACACCTTCATAGATACCATGTGCCACGCACCTTGCACAGGCGAGGCATCCTCCTCTGCATTAAACTCAAACATCGGAAAGCCATCCAGCGTGTAAGACATCTCCCTGCAGTCTTGGATCTGTGGTTCTCGCTCTGATACCCATGTCTGCTCCATCTCTTGGAAAGTGATGCGCGCGGCATCACTGAAACCAACCCTCATCAGCTTCAGCATCTCAGTGGAGATCTGTGCTTTGACTTGCTGGATCGTTCCAACCGCCGTTTTTGCATCATGCATGCCTTGCGGGGCCCCGCATGAACCTCGGTACTGACCCAATCAAAGGGAATCCACAAGTTGACGCTTGGAACCCTCCAATGAAGGTCACGCCAAACAAGTCCTCAAACAGTGTAAAGGTATTGTGAAAGCGGGTCAGCTAGTTTGTGGCTAGTTTAGCTCGGTCATATCTTTCCAAGCAATGCCGAGCAACGAGCAGCCAAGATTGTACACAGTATTGGTTCAGTTTGGTTTGTTTTATAACTGTCAGCGCAGCTTGGTGGTAGGTACTAAATGTATATACTTTTGTGTAGCCTCGGTAGTCTTCAGCATGATTCTGATTTGGATGCCTTCCCATGAATGGAAAGCAATGGTACCTGTCCTTTGGTCAAAGCTCCCAGTTTTTGCGGGCCAATAACGGAAATCCTAATGATTTAATGCAACTTACCACACCAATGGTCTGCCAATGGTGTCAAATGGCCAGGGCACGAATGAACCCGGTGCAATAAATCTTGCATCTTCTTGCTTTTGCAAAGGTCTTGGGACACCTCTGGTTTTTGTGGGGAACTTGGGTTTACGTTCCATCCATCCTTCTTTTTGTAGGTTCTTAAGATAATACAAGCGGGTTGTATATAGCCATCTGTTTTTGTATCTCTTCCATTGTGTAGTCATCTGGGTTCAAGTCCTTAGTAACATCATGATATTTTGATAATCTGGGCATTCTGCTAATACATTATTAACGCAGTATTTCTTTAAATAAGTTTTACATAAAATATAGGTATATACTATAAATTATTATTAAATAACATTTCAAGAAAAACGCATTTAAAGAAATATTGACACTATAGAATATAATATAAGTATTATTATGACATCAAAAGCTGTAAAAAGAAATATTCACTCTTTAGAAACACAACAGAAGGCAAAGGTTAGAGACATTATAGGATTATACACCGACAGGAAAATATCACAATACACAACAGCAGGGAAGATAGTCAATGATTTCATCAAGGCAAAATCAGAGGACGTCTCCACTGCCTCATGAGAGGCAAAAACAGCATGTTGGTTACTCGGCGCGTACATACATGAATCATGAAATAGGGCTGGGGCTTATATTCGCCGAATTTTTTCTCTAAAGGGGAGGCGCATGGGAAGGGTTTGTATTCGTCCTTGTCTCCGTGGTGTTTATCATCACCACTGATGTTGGGTGATGGGTTCGCAGCATCCGGATCATCAGCATTCTTCTGTTTCATATACATTTCAAGTGTACCGTTAGACCCGACTTGGAACGCAGGCGATGCATAGTCATGATTGTTATGATAACTGCTGCTCATGCTGGGGATGCATAGTGATTATCATCATTCATCATCATCATCATCATCATCATCATCATAACCCACGCAAAGTGCGGATTTCATGACTGCTGGCGATGCTGCGGCGCGTAGTGATGATTATCAGTGATGATCATCATCATTGCCGTGGCGCGTTTCAAGTGCGCCGTTCGACCCGCCTAGAAATGCAGAGGATGCGAAGTGATGTTTGTCATGATAACTGCTGGTAATGCTGGGGATGCGTCATGATGATTATCATCGGGATCATCATTATCATCATGACCCGACTTGATGCTGCGGATGCATAGTGAGCATTCTCGTTACGCTCTTCTTGTCCTGTACCAGACCCGACTGGAAATGCAGAGGATGCGTAGTCATGATTGTCATGATAACTGCTGGTGATGCTGGGGATCATCATCATCATCATGACCCGACTGGAAATGCAGGAGATGCGTAGTCGGTGATGCTTCTCGCGAAGACGAAGCGATGACACAAAGTCCACTCTTTGCATCCACAGCAATACAACAAAGTCCTGTGAACAAAAAAAGTGTCCCCAACATGGTTTTCCTGCCCAAGTTTCCACACACCGGGGGCACTTCTTGTAACCTCCAACAAAATGCTCATTACAGTATCATGCGAGTTAATCCTGCAGTAGCTTGTTTGAGATGCAGGGAATGCGTCGTCATAAAATCTCATAACAACTGCTGGTGATGCAAAAAATGCAAAGTAACAGGTATCATCATGACTGCTCCTAATGTTGGGGAATAATTTGCGTCATCAAAAGCATGGTCATTATCGTGGTGCTCTTCTTTTTCGTGTATGCTTTAAGTGTGCCGTTAAACCCGACAAAAAACACGTAGCCATAATTGTTATAAGCAAGCTGGGGGCGGCGGCACAGGGCGGCAGCCCTTAGATCCGGCTACGCCTCCTGGGGTAGCATGTCGCCGCTAGGCAATTAGCTGCACCCCCTCGTCACTTGGTCGTGATGCGCTGCATCACCAGCTCTGCAGCTGACATCATCAGGGTCTGGGGTTGGGCCTGGGTGATGCTTCAGCGGGGCTTGGTCTGCATCATCAAGACTTCCTTCCAAAAAGCCTCTCTACCAAAAAAGCACTGTTTTTGCGAAGGTATCGGAGGGATATAAGCGAGGCTCATTTTCGCGCATTTTGGCGCCAAGCGCTGCCGGGCATGCCGGCGATGCTGGGTCCTCGCTCTACACAACGCTGTAAATACCGTCAAAAACTGCTGTGCTGAGCGGTGGGCTGTTGTTCTGTCCGTTTTGCTTTTGCTGTGGCTGGCTCGCGCGCTGCGCGGTCCTTGCTTTTTTTCCCGTTCGTTTTCGGGCCTTCTGGCGCGCGCGCGCGCGACCCCAGCCACAAAACGCTGCTATTTACGATGTTTTGTCGCATTTGCGTTTCCGGGCTGGCTTGCGGGCTGCTCCTTTTGGGCTGCTCTTTTCTGGGGCCTCTGGCGCGCGCGCGCGCGCGACCCCGTGTCAGCCTTCTGGGTTGGGGCCCGGCTGGGGCCAAGAAAGCTGGCATCCCCGGCATCATCTGGGCAACATGAATAACCTAACCAACCATATCAAAGCACAGGACACGTTTCTCATACAAAAAACATGACATGACGTGGTATAACTTCAAAGAGGCGTAGCCGGCTAGAGGCCACAGGCCCAGAAAATAGAAGTTGCCCTGGCAAATAGGATGCGCTGGTGAACAGAGGGTCGCCGAAAATCGAAAATGCGCATCTCTTTGTTGATTTAAAGATATGTAGAACCCAGCCCGCTTTGGAGGCCCAGGAGCCGTGCTGCAAATGGACGGCCCACCTCTTCAGCTCACGAAACACCTTGCCCACGTCCTCCAGCAGCTGCTTCTCCTCGCATCTCATGCGGATCACTATTACCTCCGCGTGGCCAAGCAAGCGCCAGACACCTTTGCCGAGGGCCGGGTTGAAGGCCACCAAGCAAACCTCAGGAGACTCGTAGATATAGTTTTTCTACAAGGGCTTGGGTTCACGGCTACTTAACAGTCTCACTTTCACTGTAATCGGTGGTTTGGATGGTCTCCCAACCACCCAAACCATCAATTAAGGGGTACCCGAACAAGGCTCGGGCTCATGTCTACTTAGCGGGCGCCATTCCGAACTAGAAGACGGGTGGCCCAGAAATTTTCCATGACACGCAGCCTGAATCGGTCCATTTTTCCAAGTATTCTTTCCAACTATTCAATGCGAATGCGAGCACGGCAGCAGTGCCAAAAGCAACTGCTTTTCCAAGGTGCATGGAGAAAGACAATTCCGCTTCAAGACTTGCCATGGAAGAGACCCCATCGTTCCGGCAACATGGTTCCCAGGTTTTCTGTAGATATTGTCTTGCGCAGGTCTGCGCGTCTCTCTCAGCAAGTTGCCATGCGCAATGTACTTCGCGTACTACTTTTGAACTTGAAAGTTGCGACTTGGCAGCTGGAGCTGCGGGAGCGTGCTTCGCGTACTACTTTTGCACTTAAAAGTTCCGACTTTGCAGCCGGAGCTGCGGGGACGTACTTCGCGTACTACGTTTGCGCTTAAAAGTTGCCGGAGCTGCGGGGACGTACTTCGCGTACTACTTTTGCGCTTAAAAGTTGCGACTTTGCAGCCTGCTCCTTGCAGACGTCGCGCGCAGACCGCGAAGATTCACACGGGACCACAGCGAGAGCGATCTGACACGCACAATCCCCGCAGAGGGTCGCGCGTGAACCACGAAGATTCTCACGAGAGCGATCTGACACGCCCGATCCACGCAGAGGGTCGCGCGCAGAGCAGGAAACGCCAAAAAACAACTCGAGTTTTTGCACCTCGACCACGCTGATCTTCACAGAGGGTTGCGCGCACACCTCAATAATCGCAAAAACAACCCTCAGTTTTTGCACCCCGACCACGCTGGCCCCCGCAGAGAATCGCGCGCGCACCTCAAGAATCGTAAAAGACCCTCAGTTCTTGCGCACATCGACCACGGCGATCCCCGCAGAGGGTCCCGCGGGCAAGTTGAAAATCGCATAGAAACTCAGTTTTCGCACATCGGCCACGCCGATCCCTGAGAGGGTCTCATTTTCGCAGCGCACCTGGTCCCACCGCGCCACCTTAAGATACTAGCTTCAAGTTTGTGTGCAAGTTTCCTCGTGCAAGTTATGCTCGTGCGAGCAAGATCGCTAGGCATTTCACTGTTTACTTTCCCTATGCATGCCCCTATGCATTTCGCTGTCTACTTTCTCCGCGCACGCCTCTCTGCACTTCGCTGCCTGCTTTCCCTGCGCATGCCCCTATGCATTTCGCTGTCTACTTTCTCCGCGCATGCCTCCATGCATTTCGCTGTCTACTTTCCCTGCGCATGCCCCTATGCATTTCGCTGTCTACTTTCTCCGCGCATGCCTCTGTGCATTTCGCTCTCGACTTTCCCTGTGCATGCCCCCATGCATTTCGCTGTCTACTTTCCCGACGCATGCCTCTATGCGTTTCACTGCCCGCTTTCCCTATGCAGTTGAGCTGTGAAGAACGCAACGACTTTGCCGGAAGAACCCTTCGCAATGCTTTTGGGAAAGACAAACCTGTAACCTAAAAGGCCACAATTTCCGGCAACAAGGAACCCCATATCATGTCTCAGGCTTGCAGGCCGGACCACGCCGTTCTTCGCAAAGAAAACTCCTCTTCCGCGGCCTCCATCACCACGGCCGTTTGCTTCCAGCACGCGGTCTGGAGCCATTGTCGCTGCGGCTACTCTTGCAAAGCAGTACTTATGCCGTTCACCTGCGCTGGCAGGCTTGCGGCTGCAGCATGCAGCCGCGTGAAAACACTATCATTCGCCCGTTCCACTTGCGTTTGCCGCGCCTGCTCCGTCCTGGGCCCAATGTGCAGAACCTTGCAACAAGCTCCATGGGCTTCCGCCCGTCTGTCGCGAAACTCGATCCCTTGCACAAGGACGCGAGTACAGGTGCTGCACACCTCCCCGGCTACAAGGGAGTGGGGCCTGCCAATATGTAAGCGTACAAGCGTGCCTCCAAGACGCTTTCGCTAAACCTTTCGGACTCTTTCACAGACTCCTTCGCGGATCTTTCGCGGGCACAAACGCCAACAGCGCTGGAGAGACTGGCCCCAACGGAACGGCAATGTTCAACCCCCCCAAGCAGGAGAACTTTAAGGCCCCGTTAACTTTAACTTTTGGCCCCAACACAAAGTCAGGTTGGTGAGTGTTTGCGCGCCGGGAACCGTCAAGAAAGAATGATTGTAATTGACAGGCTCAACCAAATGGATCTGCCTAAGGGCCTAATGAGATATGGCACCTCCGGCATGGGTGCGGTTTCCTTCCCTTCCGTGAAAAGCAAGTTTGAAAGGGACTGCAAGCCCACGTGACGACTAGGGCTTCATGGTATGAACCGGCTTACTCCCCCACAAATCGGCACAACCCCAAAACGGGTACATCTAGAAGAGCATCCGCTAAAACAATGTGAGTTTCAGGCTCGGCCAAATCGGTTGACTCGCAGGCGAGCAACAATGACCACGGCCCCGCCATCCTTCCAGGCGGTGGGCCGAAGTTGCATCTCCACGCTCTGCTTCGCCGGCCGGATGTCCAATTTGACTTTCCGGCCACATTTGAAGTCCCACGACAACCTCAGCTTGAACACCTCTGACCAAAATGGATCCCGACTGAAACATGTGTTTTAGACTGGGTTCAAGATCCCTCTGCAACGGAATGCAACGGAATAAGTTTTCCAACCACGATGAAACTTGACAGGGGGCTTGCCTGGCAGGAAACAAGTCTTCCGTAAGCTAACCCGCCGGAATGGCAAGGGTTCAGAAGAAAAGTTTCAATCTAAAGCCCCCCTCAAAGAAAAAGAGACGCGCAAACACGCCCAATGAGTCCAGTCCATTCAACCCAAGCCGGGCCTCCAAGCAACCCCAAGCTCAAACTGGACCGGGCTTCCCTTTGTCACCAAGGTACTGCTTGTGCTCGAGAACGTTCTTCGGCTGCAGATTGCGCAGCTGCATCGCACCAGCATCCAGCGGAACCAGCAATGGAGTCTCCTGTAGGGACTCCAGCTGGCTGCTGGGAACCTTCCAGGATCTCATGCAAGGGAACCAGCTCGGAAGCCGGAAAAAAACATGGCTTGCCTGCTAGATAGATGCTGGGATCGACTGGGGCTTTGGATTCAACCACCTCCTTTTAGTTCCCCTTGCAAAGGGGCCAGAGTCTGGTTGTTTCAACACTGCCTTACACTGCACGAGCACGGGTCTCGGCCAAACAGCCGGAGATGGTGTGACGCGCACTGTCGGCCCTTCCCGAGTAAAAGACGTCGAACGAGTCAAAGTGGCGCTCATGGCAGGATAGGCCGATTCACAACTGCGCTAGCAGCCATCGCTCCGCGCGTGGCAACGCCTAGACATTTCCTTGAACCAACAACCGAAGCAAAGCCTGTCCAAAAACGTGCCAGGCAGCTCAGGTCTTGTCTCGAATTGTGGAAGGTTTTTTTTGTTTTTTGGATTCCCTTCAAACCAGCTCCCAAAAAGTGTGCCACCTCAATGCTGCGAGTGGCTTGTCTGACGTCCACCTCAAAGCACCCTCGTGCCTCGCGTGCCAGCAAAACAGTGCCGAAGGCTAGACACATCCCCGACCGGAGGGGCCCCCCAACTCCACTTCTCTTCCCACGGTCGGCTTTTTCTTCACGCCTGTCTGTTAACCCCATGTGGCCTTCGGCTGGCAAAGGTCTCGAAGGGCCAACGCCTCACCGTCTCGCGACACGGGCATCCTGGCCAAGCTTGAGATATGCATGCTGGCCAAGCGAACCCGATCCGGAAGCCAAACTCGGAGCTATCTGAAGTCACGCCGACAAACCCATGACTGTTGTGTGACAAAAAATGGTCTTGATAGATGCGTCTCTCGCTGCGTCCTCCGACCGTCTACCTCTTTCCCTCCCGCGGCTTCGATCTCGGTCCTGGGCCCGACACCGGCCGGAGGGATGCTCGAAATGAAGCCCCGCCACCAATTGCGGGACAGAAACAATACTGCTTTGGTTGGCATCCTCACTTTTCACCAATGGGTTGGCGAGAAGCAATCTAACACGATCTAGATCTGAACATCTAAGGCTGGCTGTACATGCCCCTTGTTCATTCTCGTTGGCTTCCGCGAGCAACCCACATATTCGGGTGGCATTCCTTTGGGAGGGGTACGAACCTCAGGCCTTATGTGATCTACCCAAGAGGTATGCAAAAGATCTTGAGAGATACCCCTCCCCAATGCAAACGGGGGGCGTACACACACGAAAGACACATACCATGGATCCGGCCAAATCAGAGGCTGAGGCCCCTGCGCGCACCTCCCGGCCTTGAGACGAAACCCCACCCTGGGCGTCTAGCATCTAGCATCTAGCCGTACCCTCCTTCATAAGAACCATGGGTGAAAAGAACAGGGAAGCACACCTCAGAACAAAAAATGCAAAAAATGCAAAGGATTTGCTGAGCAGGGCCTTCAGGGAAAACACAGGAAAGCCCCTTTTGAAGGCGGGGAGCATCCCAAATCCCAATCCACAATTTCTGGGACTCAGGGAAGCCCAGAACAGTGTGTAAGTCACCAAAACCTGCCTTGAACCCGTGCAGGCAACTGCCACACACCCAGTCTTCCATCCTAGCCACCTTCGACCAAAAAAAGACGCCGGGAATTTGAAAGGGCATAAACGCAATGTGCTCCTACGCCATTCAAAGAGTTGTGCGGCGCTTTTCCGCCGAACCAAACTTACTCCTGGCCCCAAGGATTGGGCCTTGTGCAGCCGTCCCGGCTGACTCACAACTTCTGCAGATCAATCAGTATTTGTGGAACGCCTGCGGACTCCATGCTGACATAGGTGGTCTGGGTGCGCCTGACAGGGATTTCACTTTTGTTAGGGATGCCGGATGCCCTTCCAATGGGCCATGAAGGCCGATGCACCCCTACATGTTTCCACCCTTGGCCGATTTACCCCTCCATGTGTCCACCTGCCAAAGGGGAACACAGCGCTGCCTTAAATCCCATCAAGAAAGGAGGGTAATTCTCTTGTTTTTAAGTTAATTGCGATTCAAGTGCACTGGCAGGAGTTTCGTAACTGGTCGGTGGACATAAAACCACCAATGACAAACAAGCAAACCCTAGCTTCCCAAGTGGATTACGCTCGACAAGAACAGTCCAAGCTTTGCTGTTTGCTTCATGGTCCAGACCATTACAAAAACTTACGTCCAGGAACTCGCCGACAGGAAAAGGGACAGGACACCTCGCGCCTGAGCTGCGCCAAACCGCTTTCTGCCACGCTGGTGGCCACTGCGACCGCCACGTCGATGGCATTCCCCAGCGCTGAGATCCGCAAATGCTCCACCGGACTTTTCGCCTCCACTGCCTCCCTCCCATCCACAGCTGGCTTGGCCTTGGGACTTGTCGAGTGTTAAGCCAAACTGCGGGAAGAAAACAAAAAGCCCGACATCTGCCAAACCCAGCGGTGCGCGTCTTACTTTTGCTTTTGCTTCAGGAGGGAGAAGCCGTCCGACCAAACCAAGCAGCCTCGATGCCCTTCAGCATATTCTCCGCCGAGCGGATGTAAAACCTAGCGCCCTTCTTGGCAGTGACCTGAGGGCTGAGCTAAGCAGGGCTATAAGCGGCTAACCAAGCGCAAACCAAGTCGAAGCGAATCATGGCTTACGATGGACGAAGCCCACTTCACTTCACTGTTGTCCATCGACTGTAATTCCACAATAAGCCAATAGGACCTGGCCTGTACCCTAGCAATGTGTCGGATGTTGCTCAATATGTCCCCATAAACACATGAGCCGGGATCCAAAAGTGCGGTTACCCTAAAAAACATAAGCTGGACCCCTCATATATTTCCTTCAAAAAAGAAGTCTAGAAACCAAACAGCGGCAACATACTGGACATATCCCCCTTACCTTAAGGAGGAGGGGGGTGGGGGTCCCCCAATTCCATTTATCTAGTCTTCCCCATCAAAGGCAAAATGGCACCATAATGGGAATTTCCGGGTCTCACCCCCTCCCCCAATTCCATTTATTCCATGTTTCGGGGGGGGATCTGGACACACTGAGACACATAAACCCACTTTGGCCCCGTGCCTTCATTTCCAGCGCCTCCGCATGTGCCGCATCCAGCGGCGCCGGCGCCGCCCGGGCGCTTCCCGCCCGGGCCGACGCCCGGGCCGCGGATCGCTGGCCGTGGGGAGATCGGCGCAGGGCCATGCCGCTGAAGAAGTCCCTTTCCACCAAAAAATACAAAAACTTGGCGTCCAGGCCGATGAAGTCCTGGCAAAAGGCTCAAGTTGGGAGAAAAAGCAACGTCAGGCTTGGTTTCGGCTTTCTTTCTCCGTTGGATTGGGTGTAGTGGCGTGGCTTGTGCCGTTTGTCAGAGGCTTCCCCACAAAACAACCTAAGCCCTAAGCACACTAGAGGCCACTCACTTTACGGCAGCCCAAGGTGCTGTCTGACGCCCCCCCCCCCCCCAACAAAAAAAAACAACAACAAACAAGGAGGACATATAGGGATATGTGCCCTCTTGCGCAACAATGGCAACACCAGCGACGTATTGCTGCCTGCAACCCATTCGCAGCCCATTTGCAAGGGGTCAGGTGTTCACATTGTTTCCTACATGTCATTCTTGTTGTTGCCCAGAGCTCGGATTTGGCAATGGGCAAAATTATCCAGAGGCGCACAGGATGACAAGCACCCAGCTTCAGCTGAAGCATGTCAAAGTGCATACGACGAACAGTTGATCCGAGAAGTGTTCGTGGGCTCACTCTTGTGTGCGTGTGCGGCATGGTCTTAGTTGCAGCGCCAACAACCACAAGTGATACCCAAAGGGTTCATTCAACATGACTGCATGTTCACCTTAGCTTTATTGGTACCACAGAAAGAGGCTCAAAATTCCAATGTTCCACAACCATGACCTGCTTTGTGCTGGCTTGGTCGATGCAAATAAGACGCTTTTAGGGCGTTTTGAACTCGCGGGGTCTCGACGTTTTCTCAGCGCGGTGAAGCCGTTGTGCTGCCGAGCATCTTTGGGGTAGGGCTGTGGTGAGCCAGAGTCGTCCTCAAAGACCATGTCGCCAGCCTGTCCCCGCTAGAAGGCGCCCTGTTTCAGTGGGTGGGGTGGTGCAACAAATGAAAGCTTCAAGGGGCACCCTCTTACTCAATGGAAGGATCCAATCAGTAGGTGTACACCCCTCTTCATGATGCCAACCAGACGGGAGCACCCCCTAACCTCCAAATCAACACAACTGCTAATTCAGCTGAAGTGTTCAACATGGAGTGATCAGGAGACTCCTCATTTCATTCCCAAGCCAAGTCCAAACTCTTGGGGGCTGACTGGCCTTCAAGGCCAGGCTGACTGGACCCCCTGGTGCCGCCATACGGATGCCGTCGGGGCATTGGGCGAAAGCCGTGGCCCCCAGGAGGAACAGAGCCGCTGGAAACGCAAAGGACTGCGCAGATCGCTCGTCCTCGCATCTTTTTGATCGAAAAAACAAATCGAAAGATTCAAACAATGCCCTTCCACAAGGAAACTTCGAAATGCACAGACCGTACTAGAAGACTAACTTCCTTCTTGGGAAGGGCCTGTGACATCCTAAGTTTGCTGGCAGGGTTCTTGAAACATCGTCCTCTCGTGGCAGATGTGGATTCAACCTGGCTTGAAAGGGAGACCTGAGGGAAAACATCTAAACATGTTTGACAAGTGTGGCCGTGGTTCTCCCTTGTCCCCCCGTCCTTCAGGACTTCCTTGGTGACGCCATCTTTGTGGCTCAACAAGCCATGGCCCTTACAAGCGAAGATGGCCCCATCTTGGACGGCCAGTGCTCCAATCACAGATCCCGAGTCCCTGGGCCGCATTGTGGCGTCATCCTCCTTGGCGACACTGCGCACTCCGACCACGCGGCAACTCTTCGCTCGTTTTTTTTTTTTTGCGAGGCGCAAAGCCACCGTAAGCAGAACGGCAACCAGACAGCAGCACGCATACTCTTTGTTCGAAGGGGAAAATGAAGGAAACCCCCAAAACATGTTAAGCCTGGCAATGCGTCTCCGAAGTCCGTCACGCGCATGCAATCCCCGTCCGGGTCCGTGTGGCTTCCGTCAAACTTGCACATCTCTGTCACTTTGCCCGGGAAGGATGCGTTAGACAAAGGATGCTCCGCCTGGAAGACAGAACCCTCCTCAGGGGTTCTTTTATCACCGCCCGGACACTCCCCTCCCCCCAACCCCACCCCCCCAACAAAAAAGCAAAGAAGAGAAGGAAATGGCGGCTTCCGCCTCGTCTGATGAAAAGGTAGCGAGAAAGCTGGAACCACAAATAGCCTGAAAACATAACATATAGTGAGCGTTGATTTCAAGCATTTCGGTGCTTAAAGATGCTGCAGCACACTCAAGCGAGAAAGCATGTCATCGAGCCGTAGCTACGAGAGGCTTTCTGCGCAAGTTTCTCCACCAGTGCGTGCAAGTTGCGCGCTAGCAAGCTCTGTGCAAGTTCACTCTGCAAGTTCCCTGAGCAAGATCTCCATGCAAACTTCTCCGCCCAAGTCTCTCTGCAAGCTTCTCTACGCTAGCTGTCGGCCCAAGCTTCTTCGCTCAAGCTTCTCTGCGCAAGTTCTCGACGCAAGTTTCTCTGCGCAAGCTGTCCGCGCAACATGCTGTTTGTAGCTTTTGTATCTCTCCTTGCGCAAGTTCTCGACGTAAGTTTCTCCAGGCGAGCTCCAACAGTAGCAACACCTACTTTGTTTTCGCATGTCGACCATGCCGATCCGCGCAGCAGGGCGCGCGGGCATCGCGAAAAGCTGCAAAAAACGTAGTTGTGTTGGACCTCGACCACGCCTGGCCCCACTGCCTTGAAAGACGAAGTTTTCCTTCGAGCCCACATTTCTCGCGGGAAATGTCTCATGCGAGCTTGCTCATGCAATTTGCTGTGAGCATCGGTGCAAACATGCTTTGTTACACTAAACGCAAGAGATTTCCGTTACCCTACAACCACTCCCCCAAGAACAAAAGGCTTCACCTGCCAAAGCCGACCTTAACCTTTGGCTGCCCCTCTTTGGCCAGTGGTTTAGTCAAGGACACGTTTTGGACGTTTGATTTGGGCAAGCGAGGGGTGCACCTTTCATTAAGTGGCTCGATTGGGATGATTCCCATCACGCTGCCATTTTGGCGTGGGCCCCGCAAAAAGCGTGGTTTCCTTTTGGGCACCCTTTACGCCGAGCTGCAAAGGGCACCCTCAAGAAAGAAACACAGACGCACACTCGATTGCTGCGCGTGCTCTGCCGTGCAATGAGTTGCGCACATTGGCTCCTGCAATTTGCTGCGCGTGTTCTCCCGTGTCTCTTGCTGCGCGATAGGGCTAACCATGTTACCCGGAAGAACCCTTCGCAATGCTTTTGATTCTTGTCTGGTGGATAAGCTTCTTGCCTCACATGGCCCTTTTTGGCTCATCCTTTAAGAATCCTTGCTCCTTGTCCGCGAGGTAGATCACTGGGCCATCTGCGGCACACATGCACCACCTGGAGTCGTCTATCACCCGCGCCTTCTTGGACTTGCAGTCCACAATCCTGCACGCCAGGAAGGCTCCCTGCCCAAATGTTCGCTTCACGTGTCGCCGTGGGAAAAACAACACATCTGCAATTTCCCAGTGGCCCGAAGGGCACACCGAGCTAGGAATCAAATCACCTGCCCCAGAAGGAATAACAAAGCAAGCATTCCACGACGCAGTTCTCGAAGCTTGAAAACCTGCCCAAACCTATGGCAGACCAAAAACCTTTCCAGATTCTGTTAAACATTGCTCGCATGGCCAAAGGGGGAAGGCTGGCCAAGGATCAGCAGCTTATTGCGTCCCACCGCCAGGAACTGGCCATCCGCCACCAGAGCTGCGCATTTGTTGCCGGCGCCCCGCGTGAAGAAACCCTCCAAAGACTCGGCCTCTTTCACCTCGCCACAGGCCCTTCCACAGCTGCAGATCCAGGGGTGCAGCGGATATGGCGGCAAAACTGGAAAGCTCAGAATTCAGGCCACGATCTGGAAAATCTGCCATCTACTTTCATCCAACACAGGGGTAAAGACCTGGCCTTCCCCGAACGGCTCCCACCCCAATTCCGGACAAAGTCTCCCACTTGAGGGCTTGAAACCCAGATTCGTGAGGATGTGCTGCTCAAGCGCTCTTCTGCCAGGGACTGTATCCCGGTTCCCTTTGCCTGGTGGGCCATTCCTTTCGAGAGGAACTCAACAAGACAAACTACCAATGTAGGGCAAAGGGCCTTTGATGTGTGCAAGACATTTCGGCGTGCAAAGAAAAGACGGTTTACCGTATACCCATGCTTCCAAAGGGCTCACCTGTGAATGGCCCTTCGGGTTTCATTCAGGTTGGAGAGTGTAATTCGGTTCAATGGAAGACGCAATCGTTTTCCAAAGGGTGACCCTATACTCAAAGGAGCAGGGAACGTCCTGGTTGCAAGCATGCTTCACTTCTGCCCAAGGCTAACACTTACCTCCTGTACCCGATCTCCCCTTGAAGTTGGGCAGTTGGGCTTACCTCATCACAATTATCTTCTCAGTGCTAGTTTAAAGGGAAACTGCCCCCCTTCCGGTGTCATCTTAAATTCTTCTGAGAAGCGCTTGCAATGCTCACTTTGGTGGACACTTGGACACCCTCTGGGTTACTGGTCAACTCTTTGAACCAGTTGTTGATCCAATTTCCCGGACATCACCTCCATGTTGCTGTTGCCCTCCGGCGCCAGGACCACCAAGCTGTTGCCTGGGACACCGGCAGAAATTTGTTGCTCTTTCGTTGCTCGATACTCGAGACTCGTTTTTGCCAGGTGGCTCAGCAAGACGCAAATGGTGCCATCACCCACCGCAGCAGCCAGCGGATCAACAAGGCTGGTTTCCGGCAGGCTGGACAGGTCGGCAGTTTCCACCTTCGAACCGCTCTTTGCCTTCCACATAAGCGCTGGAGAGCAGTGGCATGTGCTTGCCAAAATCGGCCCTCTCCTTGAGCCCAAAGGAAAAGGCACCAAGGCATTCGTGGTCTCATTTGGGCCTATTCCTGAGTCCTGAGTTTGGGTTCGCAACTCAACTGGAAAGTTATCAATCATCCAGCCATAGCCCCAAAAGCGCCAAAACTGGTCTGGGAGCTGTGCCCGCGCTTCGGGTATCTTCTCCTTGGCGAGCGAACAATTCAAGCCATACGTCGACTTGAGAGTTGCAAGCAGGCACGGCCAGCCCAAGCTTCACCCCGGAAACATCCTTTTCGAGCCCTGTGAAAGTGCTACTTGAGGGGCAGAATTGGTCAAAGTGCCTTTGGAGAGCTACTTCGAGCCTAAGCCCTGCCACTAGAATTGCAGCTGAGCCACTCTCCTCGAAGTATTTGCTGCTTCGGTACGAAGCCTGCCATGTGAAGCAAACGCTTCGCCCCAAACCCCACGCAAAAGGGAAACGCAAGGCAGCAGCGCCCTCGTCTCAGGGTCAATGAGTGCCTGGCTCCACTGCTCAAACACCTACCTCCTTGAGGGAATTTGGGAGGATGACCACCAAATAGTCACGGTCACAACTCGAGGGTGTCACTTTGAGCTGCCCGTTTCCAATCATCATGGAAGTGAACAGAGAACCTTTTCAAGATGAAGGAGTCTTCCAAACACCTGCTGTCCACCTCCATGATTGTTGGAAAGAAGGTGCTGCGGGGCGAAATCAAGCCCCCGGCGTCTCCAATATCTCGTCTCTTGCCGCCACTGAACTTGCACGGACCTGACGCTATGCAGGCAAGTCCAGCTGTCAATGCGAGCTACCAAAACATACCCCCCTGAAGACTGACGTGCTGAGCAGAACCCAAATTTCGTTCAATGTGGGTTCTACCAAGTTGGTCGTAAGCTTTATCCCAGAGGCCTTGCCAGAAACCCCAATGAAAACCAAGCGAGTCTTGCGCACTGCACACTTCGCGCTGCTTTTCTCGGTGAGACTCATCGGCTTCTGACTCGGGCGATTCACCATCCCCAGCTCAATTTTAGCTGGGAAATCTACTGACGGTGCGGTGCTAGTCACAAATCTTTCCTGACCAGCGATTGACCCTCTTGAAGGCAATGGCGGCCTCATGCAAACTTCGAATTAATCAACCTAGTGGACTATTGGGAGTGTTCCCCCATAAAAACCGAAGACTTGCCTCAAAAATGGGACACCCAGCCACTGCCTGAGTCATCTCGCAGGCCTTTCCTCTTCCTAGCCGCCGCAGCAACCTGGCAAAGCCATTGTGCCGATGCCAGCGAAGTGTCAAGGGGATTCCCACCCCACCAACATCTGGATATAAAGCCAACCATGCGTTTCTGACGTCCGATTGCTGGCACGTGCTTTGTCAATGGAAGCAACGCTCCTTTGGCCCATGTACGTGGGAAGGCCAGTGCAATCCTCGAAGCACGCGCCTTCTCTCGGTTGGGCCAGTCTTTGCATGTTGCTGCATCAAGGCAAGCATTGCCTGGCTGTCAAGCACAGCTGCCCCCCGTCTGGAGGACACTTAGAGTCTATTTTGCAACCTCCTTCTTTAGGGCATTAGTTTTTTCCGGGTTCTCGGCTGCACAAGCGAATCTAGCCTCCCCCCGAGTTTCCGCATCGCAGTCTGGCCTTCCAGGCAGGAACACGACTCATTTTTGAACATTCCTCGGATGTACCCGCGCTCATGATTCTTTGCCGGGCAGGCAAGTCTGAGGAGTTGGAGCCATCTAACCTGCCCCTCTGTGCTTTCACTGGGCAAAAGGTGTCAAGCTCCAGTAAGCCCGTGTAAAATGCAACTTGCCCTAACCCTCAGCCCCAAGATCAAACACGTGCACACTGAAAAGACCAGAGGGACCATCAGTAGCCTGGTGCCCAGTGTTGACTGGTTTAGCCCGAATGCCACCCAAAAGGGGAAATTGTGCCACTGAACAGCTGGATGCCAGAGACTGGGCGTGAACCAGGCTGCTACATGCATCGAGGCTCCATCGACAGCAGCCACATCCTTCTCGCGCAGAGCATCGGGCGCGTAGGTAGCAGCGGCCCCTTTGGCCCTCAAGCACGCGACAGTTGACTCTTGGCTTGCTCAAGTTCACAGTCGCCGCAAAAAATGTGCGCAGGATCTTGGATAAGTCCAAGCTGAGTCTTTGGCACATACTTCTTCCTGGACTGGTTGTCCAGCCTGCCAGCCCAATGACCACCAGCTTTACACAACAAACGCAATGGATTCGCCAAGGACGGGGCCAGGTCAAGCTTGGAAACAGCTTGTTGATCTTCTTGGCGTAGCCTGGCTGCAAGACCACCTCGTTCTCTCCTCAGCATCCATCTCGATTCGGCACTTGGACATTCAGTCAAGTTTGCAAGTGGTTAGTTACCTAGGCTCTGTAGGTTACAGCGCGCCCTGCTGGCAGCGGGTTATGAACCACGCGACTTGGCCGAACACCCGAGTGCTTAAGGGCAACGGGGGGCGCACCATTGGATTTGAGACACTGCAGCTCATAAAGAATCGACAGGAGAACTTCACAAGCAGCCTGGAACAGTGGCCCTGGTGCGCTCGGATAGGTCGGGCTGGTCTCCTCTGTTGGCTTTGACTTACACTCACACAGAAAGGCGATTTGTTGGCCCAAGGGAAATTCCAGGAAACTGAAAAGGGCCAAAACGCACCACAAGGGGTGCGCCTGGTACGCTCAAGCCTGGCCACGTTTGGAAGCCCAAGCCTCTGAGGGCTGGGCGCAAGTCCAGCTCCAAAAGGCTCTTGCAGCGGCTGGCCAGGGCATCCAACTCGCTGAGCTCCTCAATGGCCTTCGCCGAGTCCCCCGACAGACGGAGAGCTAGAGACGTGGGAATATGGTGGTTTGGCATCCCTGTAGGGGGGCCTTTGGGCCCCCCCTTTCTTTCAGCTGCCGAAACAGAAAGCAAGAAGAAACTGACCAAGCCAAGCTTTCCCCACAAAGCGGTGCTGCACGGAGCTCAGGTGCCAGCGTTGTCAGAGACTTCCTCGGCAGGCTGGATGGGGACAGCATGAAGTGCAATTGTGAAAAACCTCGCAAGGACCGGAGCTTGCACACTGGCCTCTCCAGTGTGCCTCCCCTGACCCCAAGGGCCCTTTTAAGTGCCTCTTCACATTCTTGACAAAGACGCGAGGTCCTGACGTTCTAACCTGCGTCCATGGCGAGCTTTCAGCCAAAGCTTCTAAGGCTTGCAGCTTGGCAGGCAACTCCACCTCCAAGCTGCAAATGCTGCAGCCCTCTGCCACCAGGCGGGCCAACCTGGGCAGCTATGATTTCCACTATCATTGCCACCAGGGCAAATGGGCACTAGCCACCATATGAGTTTCCCATTGTCCCGGTCCAACGCGGGTCGGCCACCTCAGCCGCCCTACAAGCCCCTTTTGCAACTTTTGCACGCAGGTGCTACCGGGTTCCATTTTGGGTCCCTATTTTTGAGCCACGCCTATATGACTAAGATCAACTTGCAAACCGAGGATTGTGTCTTGTGCAGTGGCGTTTAAGGAAGGAAACAAGATTGAAGTAGAAGCAAATTATCTGCAAACCTTGCAGGGGCCTGTCTCACAACAGGTTGACCCCGCGGTGACCCCAACAAAACAGCTAGTCCTCACTTGGCCGCTCTGCAAGTCAAACAAACCCAACAAGGCTTTGCCTGTGGGCACTTAGGCTGCTTGCGCCATTTTTGCGGCGCCAACTCCTAAAAGGCAATACCGATACCCTAAGATAAGCGCCAAGCGTAGCTGCAACTGGTGCAAAGCCAGCAACAATAGCCCCCATGCCTGCCCTGCACGTGCCATGCGCGCCATGCGTGCCATGCGTGCCGTGCGCGGCCTGGGCAGGTCCGCGATGGCCTGCCAGGCCCCCTCGATGGAGGTGAGCTCGATGAAGCTGACGTCCAGGACAAGCAGCCTGAAGCAAGCCAAGCCAAGCCACTTCCAAAGAGAAATTGGGGTACGTGACCAGCAACAGCAAAGTGGGAAAACAGCGGGAATTGGGTGACTATCTTACCGTGGCTTGGGGTACTGGAGAGCATGCGGGCTAATGGGGAATGTGGACAAGCCGATTGGATAAGCCCCGATTCCTGCTCACCAAAATTGGATAAGCCCGTTGATTCACTTTGGGCTGGCCAGTGAGGACTTGAATCCCCGGCCTTGGAAAGCTGCACAGGCCCTCGAAAGACTCCAGCGGGTTCATGGCCAAGCTCAGATATCGCAGCCACCTGAGTGAGAGACATCATCTCTTCTCACGACCCTGTCAAAGCAAGGAACCAAAGCTAAAACCCCTGCTCTATCACTATGGATATGCACAAATCCCGTTTTGGAAGAAGCTGCTTTTGTTGGAAAGGATCCAGTGACCTTTGATTTTGTTGCTGGAGGGGTATTTTAGAGCTCTACCCGCAACCCATCGGAAAAGAATCCAAAGGGTAGAAGCTTGTCGCATTCTCGGCAAGGGGACTCTCCTTGATTTGTAACCTTCAGTTGCACGGGTTTGGATCGTGACTCATGCAGGCAGGTTTTGTTTTGAATGACGCAAACGTCTTGATACGTCTTGCGCAGACTGTTGCTCTGCCAACTCTTGAGCGACAGTGTTCAACCAGAATTGGCCACCACTGTCCCCAATTCTAGACATGTCCAGATTCTGACTGAGCCAAAACCAGATTTCGAATATAGAAGCTTCACCTATTTTCTGCCTTGAAGATTCAGTCAGAAGTCTCCCATATAGAAAATAGAAGTCTCTCTGGGCATTCCGATCCCGAAAACGAGAAATCACGCCGCCGCGCTTGAGCGCGCGGCAGCGGCTGGAGGGATGCCACCGTGGCCAGCTGATTCTCCGAGAGGTCGGCAGACACCAGGAACTCGCGCCTGCGGAGCTTGCGTATGCTTACATGAACCAAGCCCTTGCCTTGCCTTGTAAAGGGCAAACTACAAGAGGTTGCTGAAAGAGAGGTCAGGTCGTCAACATATATCAAACCCATAGCCAGGGGTTGGGCGAACCCCTCGGTCCAAAGCTGATGAAGGCGGGATATGTCCCATGACCTCTCGGGGTGCTTGGGGGCAGTAGAGCCATCTTAAATTCCTGCTCCACAGCGTTCCTGACATGTCCATCTGGAAAGATCCGGAAAGCACCACCCCACCAAACAGAAACTCAATGAACATGTCCAAAAAGGTTATGTTTGAACCCCAAGAGAGAAACTCCGTAGGTTCAAGTGCCAAACAAATATCCCCCAAAACCGCGCCGGCCCAAACTGCTCAGCTTGCCCAATAATCATAAACCTGGTGGATCACCCCAAAAGTGAACGCAAGTGACCATTCAGTGTCGTTTTCGAACTGGACTCTTTTTCTGCGCTTGAAAATCGAAAGCCACAGGCCACGCCCCGGAGAAAGGCTGCTCACCGCTCTAGTCAAGACCCCCCATAGACATCAAAATGCCCAGTCTGGGCAAAGCCTACCCACAAATCAGAACCAATGATGCCAATGATGTCCAATGATCAAAGGTAGACCTTCCTAGCCCCCCGAATCGAGCCTGCTACCCACAAAATCAGACCCCTGGCGTTCCCCCAGACCGAAACTAGGCTGCCGGGCTGGCTGCTGCTGGGCTGAAAGCTCTGGAGCTCCGCGTCTTTGGCCGCCAGGTGGGCCGCGGCAGACGCCTCCCCCTGCACCTGGCGAGGCGGCATTCAGCGTTTTCATCTGAGTCCGTCTTGAAGATTCGGCCCAAAGAACAAGAGCTGCTTGTTGCGTGCTTTCCCTTGGTCCATGTTGTCGGGTCGGGGTGGCTGTTTTGGAATGAAGTCAACACAACACAAGAGGTCGCCCTGAAATCAAGCCACTCGAGGTGGGTTTGCACCTCATGGTCTCCCTTGCGGGTTGTTCACAAAGACGGTATGCCAATTAGGAAAAAACAGGATGGTCCGACGGTCCAACACAAGCACCCCAAAATGTGGAACAACCCTCCACACTTGAGCAGCGCCCAAAAGCAACTGACTTTTGGCTCTAAGATGCCCATAAATGCATACATAGGCCTCACCATTATCCCAATTTGAATCAGGTAGTGCTCTGAGTACACGTGCCCAAAGGCCACAACAATCAAAAATGTATGTGTCAGCTTCTGGGTGGCCATGATTAAAAACACTAACAATAATTCGTGAAGGTCAACAGCTCGGGGGAATGTTCAAAATCATTTTGGCACCGTCCCTTTGAATTATGTTCATCATTTTGACGACCCAACACTTAAAAACATGAAGAACCCTGGGTCAACCCGCCTGGGGAAACTTTGCTTGCGCAGTGGCTGTAAAGTGGCCAGAACAACTCCCCCCCCCCCCCCCGCAATTCGCGCGTCGGGCAAACTTGTGGATCATGGGGCCGGGAAGACTACCGCTTTTAAGGATCAATCTTTAAGTGCCCAAGGGAAAATGTGTCGAAAATCTAGTAGAGCACTTTATGAAGATGCAGTGGACACCTACTCCATGTTCTTGGGGCGTTGGTTTTGGGAGCAGTGGAAAGCGATTCCCAAAATCAAACGTGACCCCAAGGCCTCTATGACTTCCAAGGTGTCCTCCTTGATGATCTCCAACGCTTTGGCATCAGACACCTGGATAGGCAAACCAAAGGAATGCTTCAAAATCCAAGCTGAATTCTTTGTTCAAAAGGGGCCAAGGAATAGCTTGATCTCATTTTGAGAAACGCGGTGAAATCACGCCCTCTGGAAGTGAATGTCTTTGGGGGGCCCGGGGGGGTCCTGTCTTCCAACCGACCTGTTTGTTTGACTCCTGGTAGGGGGGGAACCGCACAACCAGCCCAACCCCAAGGAAGGTTCTCAAGCTGGAACCTTCTTGGGAGGGGTTGTCGGAAGGGTTCGCCGGCGCCTCTGCCCACGGGTCCGGGATCTGGGCCAAATCCACGCGTTCCGTGGAACCAAGCGTCCTGCCAGGGTGCATGTGACGCACGTTGTCCTACCATGTTTGACTCGGTTGTATCAGTTTCTCACTTGCCCAAAGGACCTGCAAATTAAAGGTTCACCTGTTAGGACCTCTACTAAAAATAGACCACAAAGGGAAAACCAAAAGGTCAAAAGGTCGGCTTTGAGCAACTGAGGTTTACCTCATGTTATAGGATGGCTACATCTTGGGGAAGATCTGCGGGTGGGATGAGCGAACCGTTGAACATCTCTCGAGACACATTTGCAACCGTGAAGAGTTCCCGCCAAGCAAAAGCAAGCAAAGCGGCAAACCAGAGAAATGCAAACAGAATCGGAATCACCCTTTCCACGATACCAACCAAAGTGGGCCAAAGTTCCCGACCAGTTAATCCCTTTAGATATGAAGGCATTCCCCTTGCAGCACAGAAAGTGGCACTAAACCCAAACTTCCACTTACGTGTGGAGGTGGGATGTGGATCCACCAACCATCTTTAAAAAATTGAAGCCCCATTCATGTTCATAGCCATGTCCCACCCAAAAACAGGGTCACAAGCGGAAAAGCTGATTTCGCCTCCAAACTGGTTGCTGGATCCGGGCCTCGCGGCCTCCGGCTCGAGCTTTTCGGCTTCCGCCTACGGGAAAGGCGGCGATCCGTTTGGAGAAACTTTGGGCACGCGTCATGTTCAACTTCAAGTGTCCGAATCTAACCTTTTCAGCTCGACCACAAACGCTTTTTCAGACCTCAGCTGGGGAAAACCCGGTTGCCTCGTCTTTGGGCATTTCCCCCAGGCATGGCCTTGACCTCAGCCATAGAAGATGCCTCTGCCTTGGGGCCCGCTTCCTGGCACGCCGACAAGCACGTCGAACCCGCCCAATGGAAGCCTAAAAAACCTCGTGATTTTTATGGTGTAATTTCCCTGTGTCTAATTAACACATAGTGCTTGCCATGTACGTACGCTTTTTCCCACTAGCATAGCGCAAACGGAGTTTCCTTGAAGTTGCACCTGGTTAATCCTTCCAAAAGCAAGCACAAAACACCTTAAAATAGGGTCCCTACACATGGTCTTCCACGGTTCTCTAAAAAAGGGGGCGCTGCACATTTCAGAACATGTCGAACATGAAAGGACATTGAACCACCCAATTTCAAGCGCGTCATTTAAAGCACTCCTGAAGCTTCGGTGGCGTTTCAACAACCCACGTCTCTTCTTTTCCGTGTGGCCGGCCACTTGCCTCGGCGTGCTTCTGCCGCACTGCAGCCGCACCGGAGCCAGCGGCCGGCGAGGAAGGAGGCTCCTGCCCCATTGAATATTCTTGCCGCACGCTCTGGCAGGTTAACATGGGACGTAAACAAGCGCCGGTTTTAGAGGAATTTCCTTTTGGGAGACCCCTTTTTTGGGTTCCAGTTCCATGTCAATTGTAATGTAGGGGAGCAATTTTCAAATCTCCTCTGTTAACGCCCCATCCCCTTTGCTTCCCCACACCAATCAAGGCCTTGTGAGGAAACCGGAAGAAAGGTGGAGATGGACTAGGCAGGCTCTCAGCGACCCCTTCACCCGCAGTCCAAGTACACAAGTCTACTCAGTTTTTGTTGGCACCGCACAAGCTGCTCTTGCTCTTGACATGGTCGCAACGCCCTCCTCCTTTAGAAGCGGCTTGCTTTCAGCTTCAGCCTGCGCTCAAACATGCACAAGGTGAGGAGATAGACCCACACCGGCCTCTACCTTGGCCTGGGTGTTGCTATCTTCGGCTCCTCTGACATCCTTGGAATCCTTGGCATCTTTGGCATCCTTGGCATCTTTGGAATCCTTGGCATCCTTGGCGTCCTCGGGAGGAAGCCGTGATTTAGCTACTTGACGAGCGGGTGGCAGTGAAGAACCAAAAAGAGTTTCTGGAGTGTGCATTTGTTGGGCAAGTGTTCCCTTTGTTGGCATCCTTCGAATCCTTGGCATCCTTTGTGACTTTGCTTTTGGCACCAGCTTTGGCCTGGCCACAAACAGCATGCACGCCAAAAAATACGGCCGTGGCAATCGTGAGGCTTGCTCCGAAACCCGGCCTTCCCTTTGGGTGGCATGGCGCAGCTGCAACATGAAGGTGCCAGAATGTGCCAGACAGGTTGGCAGGGAAGCGCCCTGGTACCCTTTGATGAGTTGGGTGAAGCTACCTTTTGGGATAGAAAAGCAAACCTAGCTCGACAAACCCGGACCAGACAGGCAAGGTGTGCCCATATTGGAGCATGGGCCATGCTCCACTATATATTTCCTATTATTCTAAAGCCTTAAGGGTTCCACGAGGAAAGGAGCGAGTATCGGACCTACTTGCCAAGTCGTTAGATGGATTCGGCCTTGAAAGGCGCATGACCGACATATGTTTCAATGGCATCTCGAGCCGACATGGCTCCGCTCATTGGCTGCGCGCACTGGGTGAGAGAGAGGTTTTTCGGGGGCTCCTCATACCTCACGAAGTCATCACTCAACAGCACCCGGCCTATGGGCCGTCCAGATCTCAACCTGACTGCGCCCATGGAACCCTGCAATCTCCTGCAAGGCTACATGAAATCTTGGCATTTGGGCACCATCTCACATAGCTGATTGACATTGGCCACGTACAGGCAACACTGAACAATATCCTACTGGGGTTTAATGACTCACCTTCCCTGTCTCCGACTTCCTTTGTATGAAAACGGGAGTTCACCTGAGACAGGAGCTCTGGCTTCGCACGCGCGCATGATTGGCAATTGTAGTGGGTTCCAATGACACAAGGGCGGCGCCCTTGTGCGTTTCCCAAAGCTCCAATGAGTCTGTCTTGGCTATTCTTTGGCACTGGGCCAGGGAGTTCCCATGTCACGTCAAAAGGTGTCATGTGCAAACGACCGACGCATCAGGGGGGCTTTCTGGGTTTTAAGCGCCAGGTGCTTGGCCCTTTGAAAGCGGAAGCGAAGGGACATTCAGCGAAGGGGTGCCCTATTTGGGTACCCGTTCGGGCTTCGTTCTGCTTTCTAATGGGACCCAAAGGGGGTCAACCCCCTTTTAGAGATCCAAGTCCAATGGGGTTTCCTCAAAATGGTGGACCTCACCTCAGTCCAAAGAGCCAAACTGGATACATCACATGAGGGAACTGCCAGGATGGGTGTGTCCTTTTCAAATTCCGCTTCAACCACCAAACAACTGCAGGTTCAGAAAAAAACAAAGAAAAACAGAAAGAAACGGAAAAAAAACAAGCAAGCAAGCAAGCAAGCAAGCAAGCAAGCAAGCAAACAAGCAAACACAAACAACAAACAAACAACCAACCAAACAACCAACCAAACAAACAAACAAAAACAAAAAACAAACAAAAACAAACAACAAACAAACAAACAACAACAAACAACAAACACACAAACAACAACAAACAACAAACAAACAAACAACAAACAAACAAAAACAAACAACAAACAAACAACAAACAAACAAACAAACAAACAACCAAACGAACAAACAAACCACCAAACAAACAAAAACAAACAACAAACAGACAAACAAACAACAAACAAACAAAAACAATCAACAAACAAAAACAAACAAACAAACAAACAAAAACAAACAAAAACAAACAACAAACAAACAAACAAGCAAACAAACAACCAAACAAACAACCAAACAAACAAACAAAAACAAACAACAAACAAACAACAAACAAACAAACAAACAAACAACCAACCAAACAAACAAACAAAAACAATCACACAACCAAACAAACAAACAAACAAAAACAAACAACAAACAAACAAACAAAAACAAACAACAAACAAACAAACAAATAAAAACAAACAAACACCAACAACAAACAAACAAACAAACAAACAAACAAACAAAAACAAACAAACAAACAAACAAAAAAACAAACAAACAAAAACAAACAAACAAACAAACAAACAAACAACAAACAAACAACAAACAAACAAACAAAAACAAACAACAAACAAACAAACAAACAAACAAACAAACAAACAAACACAAACAACAAACAAACAAACAAACAAACAAAAACAAACAACCAAACAACCAAACAAACAAACACACAAAAACAAACAACAAACAAACAAACAAACAAACAAACAAAAACAAACAACAAACAAACAAACAAACAAAAACAACCAAACAAACAAAAACAAACAAACAAGCAAACAAACAAACAAGCAAACAAACAAAAACAAACAAACAAAAACAAACAACAAACAAACAAACAAAAACAAACAACAAACAAAAAACAAAAAAAGAAAAAAACAACAACAAACAAACAAACAACCAACCAAACAAACAAAAACAAACAACAAACAAACAAACAAACAACAAACAAACAAACAAAAGCAAACAACAAACAAAAGCAAACAACAAACAAACAAACAAACAACAAACAAACAACAAACAAACAAACAAACAACCAACCAAACAAACAAAAACAAACAACACCCAAACAAACAATCAAAAAACAAACAAACAAACAAACAAACAAACACAAACAACAAACAAACAAACAAACAAACAAACAAACAAAAACAAACAACCAAACAAACAAACAAAAACAAACAAACAACCAAACAAACAAACAAAAACAAACAAACAAACAAACAAACAAAAACAAACAAAAACAAACAACAAACAAACAAACAAGCAAACAAACAAACAAAAACAAACACCAAACAAACAAACAAACAAAAACAAACAACAAACAAACAAACAACAAACAAACAACAAACAAACAAACAACAAACAAACAAACAAAAAAAACAAAGAAAACAAACAAACAAACAAACAAACACACAAAAACAAACAACAAACAAACAACAAACAAACAAACAACAAACAAACAAAAACAAACAAACAAACAACAAACAAACAAACAAACAAACAAAAACAAACAACAAACAAACAAACAAACAAAGACAAACAAACAAACAACCAAACAAACAAACAAACAAAAACAAACAACAAACAAACAAACAAACAAACAAACAAACAACAAACAAACAACAAACAAACAAAAACTAACAACAAACAAACAAACAAACAAAAACAAACAAACATACAAACAAACAAACAAAAACAAACAAACAAACAAACAAACAAAAACAAACAAACAAACAAACAAACAAACAAAAAAACAATGAAACAAACAAACAAACAAAAACAAACAAACAAACAAACAGAAACAAACAAACAAACAAACAGAAACAAACAAACAAACAACAAACAAACAACAAACAAACTAACAAAAACAAGCAACAAACAAACAAACAAACAAACAAACAAACAAACAAACAACAAACAAACAACAAACAAACTAACAAACACAAGCAACAAACAAACAAACAAACAAACAACAAACAAACAACCAAACAAACAAACAAACAAACAAACAAACAAACAAACAACAAACACACAACAAACAAACAAACAAACAAACAAACAAAAACAAACAACAAACAAACAAACAAACAAACAAAAACAAACAAACAAACAAACAAACAAAAACAAACAAACAAAAACAAACAAACAAACAAACAAACAAACAAAAACAAACAACAAACAAACAAACAAACAAACAAAAACAAACAAACAAACAAACAAACAAACAGAAACAAACAAACAAACAAACAAACAAACAAACAAACAAAAACAAATAAATGTACTCTTCGGGCACGCTGGTGAGGCCCTTGCTCTGAGAGCTTCATGCTCACCAAGGCCGAGGGCTTGTTGGAGGCGGTGAGGTGCTCATCCAAATCCTAGCCGGACATGTTCCAAAACGGTGGTTTGCGCTGGTTCTTTTTTGGCCTCTATAAATGAAATGGCCAATGGCCAAGTTGTTTGAAGGGTACCCTAGCCAGCTTGTTTTGGGGTTCTTTTGGCTTCTCTTTAAAATTGCCTTTTTCAAGGGTACCCTAGCCAGCTTGCTTGGAGGGGCTCCATCTTGGTAGCTTTGCAAAGAAGGACCCAAGGGCCTCCAATGGGGGGACAGAGTCAAATGAGTGTATGGCTTCAAGCAGGAAATGGGTTTGTCTCCGAAATAGTGGTGGCTTTCCGCCCATCCTGAGTAGTCAAAACAATACGCACCCAAGCGAAAGCAAGACTCGCACCAGAAAGCGATAATGGACGCAACGTCGAATCCGATTGGCATGCGTTCTTCCGATTGCAGGCTTGCGACTCGCGCTCATGGCATCCACCGGAGTCAACCTAAGCCTGCACGCTACACCTTGCTTCGATCAGAACAAGGCATTTCCATTTTTGTGGGGCCGTATTCGCCGTATTCAAGCGCCACACGTCGCTCTACCAAGAGGTTGCCGACAATCTCGCACAAGCCCGTCCGCCTGAAAATCTCGCACCAAGTCGCAGCCAAGTCGAGAACGATCTTGGAACACCTTGCGGTTGAATCACAAACTTCTCGACTTCAGCTAGCTTGCTCAGCGAGCCTGCCTGCATCCCCAGCAAAAACAATGACCCGATCACTCATTCCAGCCCCAAACTGGAGAAAAAAAACAATAATGAAAAGACCGGTCACCCAGTGTCAACATGAAATGTTCTCCACCTCAACAGCCAGCCAAATGCTGAGCGCGTTTCGCTCGCCAACCGGGCACCAGCAGCTTCGTCTAAATGGTGCCTCGGGCGACTGTGGCTACAAATTTCTTGGGCGTTCAGCAGTGCACACATGGGACTTTTTCATTTTGCTGCCCACCCCCAGATTTCACCACACATTTGCTCATTCCCTAACCTCCCCACTGTCAACAAAAAATATGAATATGTGCCATCATAACCCAGGAGCAGTATGAAGGCAACCGAGCAAAACCAATGGCACATCGCAAGGAATAAAGCCATCTCGTGATCCGTGATGGTGTATATAAATCTATTCACCCCCAACAAAATCGCGCGACGGTAACATGCCGCATAACATGCTGCCATTGCTATTTTTGGTTTTGCATCATCTTGGCGCTGCCGAGGCGGCCGTGTGATGTTTCACACATCGTTTGGACTATGGTCAGGCGGCCAACTGCTTCGCAATTTTAACCGCGCCCAGCGCCGCCTGCATGCGGCTGCTGCTGCTGCTGCTGATGATGATGATGATAATGATCATGATGATCATGATGATGATGATGATGATGATGATGTTGTTGATGATGATGATGATGATGCGGCCAACATTGTCACGATGCTTTCTGAATGATCCAAATCGAACTGAATGGCCATGATGCTGCTGAGTATCATTACATTTGGTTTGCGTTCACGCTCATTTGCGCGATGATGCCGAGTGGGCTAGAATGGGCTATCATGGGCTATCGCTCCCGGCGACGCATGATCACGGCGCGTGCGTGTCAGAAAGTGCGCAGGAGCAAAAGAAACACACACACACACATACACTTTCAGTCTTGGCCCAGTGCTCAATTGCCTTGGGTTCCACGTAACTCGTGGCACATGCTTGATGTAGTCCGTCAGCGCGTCGACGTGCCAAGGGGAAGGAAACTCGTCACAAGGCATGGTTCGACGGAAAGCAAGCGCCTGCGACAAGTCAAGCTCATCCTTACCCCTTAAAACTCCAAGCCTTGGGGAAGTTAATCTTTTACAGACATATAGCCCATGTTACCCAAAAAGTTGAAAGGTTGTCTTTTTAAGAGGTAAGCATCTCTCCAATCAGTCCCAGAATGGTGCCCGTCTTTTTGACCTTGACTGAGTTTAGTTTGGCAACGCCACCTCGGAGCCCTCGAAATTGGCTAACATACACGCATCTATACATGTATGCATATGTAAAAAAATGTATAGATGTATCTATGCATATGTTTGTATGTGTATATTATGTATATGTAAAGATGCGTATATGTGTATATATATGTATATATGTGTAGGGATGCACATGTCTGCATATGGATATGTATGCTTATGTATAATGATAATGTGTACCTATGTAGCTATGTTTTCATGTGTTTGTATGTAAGTATAATGTGTAGATGGATAGATGCATACATGTGTATTCAAATTGTTTATATGCTTATGTGTATGTGCATATATGGTGGTATGTAGAATGCGCATGTATACCCGTGTATAAAATATACAATATGTGTGTGTAGGTGAAAAGGTGTATAGATGCATACAGGAACATATGGCATGGCATAGATGAACATGTACCAATGTAAATATGAGTGTCTGTATAGATGTAAATATGTATAGATAATATATATATATATATATACATATTATGCATGTATGCAACCGTAAGGCCCTAAAACCTTCAGAGAACTGCGGATCGTTGGGGCCCCGTGCTTCAACGCCAGTTCGGCCACCCGTTGCTCGATGTCCACGGCTCGGCCTGGAGGGCCCACCTGGAAGCCATGGGCTGGTCGCCCCAAACCGCACGGTGCTTGGGGGGGGGGGGGGCGGCGGGTCTCCAAAAACTAACGTTAACCCCAAGCTGATTTTTGTTAACCCAACTAATGTTAACCCAACTAATGTTAACCCAACTAATGTTAACCCCAGATTTTCCTCTTTTAGTACAGCGTGAAATTTCTCCCAAGCTTCAGGCAAGAAAGTCTGCGAAGTGTGCTTTCAAGCACTGTGCTTGCCGCCCAAGGGTTGCACCATGTTTAAACCAAACCGGTGGTATTTAGTTGGGATATGTTGGGATCCTTTCGGGCGGTTGAAGTGGCACCAAAAGAAATACTCCCATGTTCGGCATTCTTGACCATTTGTGAAAACACACATTTTGGGTTGGCTTTCCGGGGAACCCAAAAGAAATCCAGCAGCCATGCCGGTTGTACCGATTTTTTTGGTTGGAGTTTTCGCAAGGGGACCAAAAGAGAGCAAAACAATGTAAGGGCACTAGCTTTCCAAATCCCATTAGGGGAACGGCATTTTTCCTGTTTTGCGCACGTGCACCGTGGTCAACTCACCCTTTGCTTGGTCATGACATGTCATGAACCTCTACTGGGGCATGTGGACCACCGTCAGAAGGGTCCCTACATGGCCCATTTAAAGGGAGTGTTTGATCCACAGAAGGAGTATTGATGATGGCACATCCTTTTCGGGGAAGTCAACCAATTTGGGAACCACCATTTGGGTTCGAGTCTAAGATGTGCGAGATTGCCAAGAGGCAGCGCTAAGGCTGTTCCCAACAGCTCGATAGTAAAAAAAAAAAAAAAACAAGAGGCAAAACGAAACCTTTTCCCAGCCATCATTGAAGTGCACATTCCCAGCAATCATTGAAGTGCACAGGGGGTGGTGTTGGATCCATGATTGTAAAACGGGCAAACCCAAACATGCGGGGAGGGGGATCAGAAATGGACGTTTCGCGTGTGCCAGTCAGCCCCATTACGGCAACTTTGGTCAACTATGACGAGGGTTACTTCTGAGCGAACCATGTCCGTGAGCCACGTAAGTTGTCTTGATGGGACGCGGGGAATGTATCCATCCAATCCCATCCTGGCTGTGGGCTCCGCGCTGGAGTTGAAGTGCTGCCCGGCCGGCGGTTAGTTGCTTGACTTGCCAGCACCACTGATACCTGCCAAACCCCAAGACAAACCTGCTTTGGACGGTGCTTGCCACCGCAAACGCCTTTTCAGGAAGGTGTCTGCCTAAACAGTTCATCCATGTTCTCTTCCTGGGTCGTGGTCAGCGGTCGCACTGTGCACTGCTACAACCAGGACATCCATTTCTTACATGTACCTCAAGTTCTCTTCCTGCAAACGGTGGGCCAGTGGGGCAGCCCATGGCCTCTTTGCCCGAGATCTTCTTGCCATCGAGGTCCTTGGCTGCATCTTGCGCGTCCCGGGGGTCCTGGCACGCACATGTGTGCGAATGTCCATCATTTTCAGCTGTGGGGTGTTGGAGGCATGGGTTCCTTGAATGGCCAAACGCCCACCAAAAGCAGATGGTCATTGGCTAATTTCATGTAGAAGTTTCTGTTGCGAGTTATGGCTTACATTCCACCAAAATCAAACTCAGTTTGTGAACCGGTTTAGTCCCATTTCACCAGTGGTAAGTAACCTAAATGTCCCTTTGATGTCATCCTCGTACTCCACATATGCGCATCGTTGCGTCCTGGGCGCTTCGTATGCAATGTGCCATGGTCAAAACTCTTGTCCCTGTTTAGGGGTTGACCGTCACCCCCAATCGCCAACCAAGTAAACGGGTCGTTTGACCATGCGCATGTGCCGCAGGAATCCAGAAGCGACTGAGCCACGCACTCAGAGACGTCAATGCGCAAGATTTGCCCGAAGTCCCCAAAGGGGGCCTGCGCGGGAGGCCGCCCAGAGTGAGCCCTTCTGGGGAGGCAACCCCCAGACTCCAATCATCTCAAGTTCAAGAACAAACAAAAACCCTGGGATCCATTGTGTTGCAAACCCCGGGGTGGGGTTCGTTTCTGTCAGAACAGAAAACCAAGGCAACGTTGGAGAGTGAATGAACCCTGACTTTTGGGGGGCCCAGCGTGGACTTCCCCTGAACCAATCCCAAACCACCCACCCGTTCACCCTCCCTCGCTCCCTCCCTCCCTACCCACACCTGAAAAGTCGTCTTCTTCAACCAATCCTTCGGAATCGGGCCGCTATCTTTGGGCTTCACGTAGAGCCTGGCCCCACTGCATCGCAGTGCACAGGGTTTGAAATTGCCGGCTTGTGGTTGGCAGCCCGGCAGGGGCCGTCTTCTGCGCGTTAGACCAGAGACCCCACCTCCCCCACCCTACAAGTCCTTATTTGCCCTTAATACGTCGCCATTAGAGGAATCCCCTGTTGATCGGATTCCTTTTAGTTCCAAGATGTTCCCTCTTCATCTGCAGAGAATCCTTGCGGTTTCCTTTCGGGAAGTTACGCATGTGCTTAGTCGGGTGGCAGCACGAGATCAACATAGCTGGAAAAGGCGTAGCTTAACGTCCAGATCGGTTTTCAACAAAGGCAGCCTCCTTATACAATGGCAATTTTAAGGTAGCCTTGTGAACCCCCCCCCGCCCGCCCAAAAAAAAAAGAAAGAAGAAGAAACAAGAAAGAGTGAAACAAGTCCCCTAAAAAAAGAAGAAAATAGTGAAACAAATCCTTCCACCAACAAACATGAAAGTGCACGGGCCCTTTGGCCCGTAGCTCTCTCACACACTGCCAATCGATGGGACTGTAAGGATCCAATCTGCGAGGCGCTGAGGTTGCGGCGTGACACCGACCTTGTAGGGGATTGAGCCTCCAATGCCGCCCTGGCGTGAGCTCAGGCACAGCCAGCGAGGGCGTGAGGGACCCGTTTGGGGGGATTCGGTACCAGTGCAAAGGTTCAGTTTACAGTAGCGGTGGTTTTTGTTGGCCCCATCTCCTGCGAATGCAGGGGCCCATCAAGAAGTCGGGCCTCTCGCAGCGCGCGAGCTGATGGACCATTCATGGCAGTGGCGCGTCCATCCCTTCAAAGTGACTTGCAGAGGTTGGGGCGACTTTTGTTTCCAGATCTGACAGGGGCTTGGCCCAAGTGAGGCAGCATGGAAGCTGCTGCCCCGATGCCAATGCATGCTGGCAAGGCATTTCTTCTTGCGTTACGATCAAGTGTGCGCTTCCTCGCTGTTGCTAGCATGGGCGCTTTATTGCACGAGTCATGCATGCTTGACTCGCTCCAAGCCAGCCGCACGCGTCTGCAGGCCGTTTCAGTTCGTCACGCTCTCCCACGCGCACGGCTGCTCAACCAAACATCATGGAATCCAACCCCCCCCCTCCCCGCTGACCCCCCCCTACAAATAAGGGCCACAAAAACAGCCTCATTGGGGTTGTGTCTTGGGGGAGCAAAGGGTGGGGGTGTTTGGGGAAGGGGGGTGTGGCCATTGATAAATGCCAAGCTCTCTGCCCTGCTTTTTCTTTCAGCCAACTCCCAATGATAGCGCAAGTTTCGAGCCACGCCCTCCTCGAAGCTTTTCGGAGCTGAATCTGCGGAGCTGCTGAGTTCCGGTCGTGAGTCGTGCATCAGGCTCTGATTCCTGGCCCATTGACGTCTCCATCTCCGACTTGGCGTGCCCCGACTGGAAGTGTCGGGCTTCGCTCTGCTCAACCCGCCGCAGTCTGCTGGGCAATCCAGGGTGGAGGCAGAGTTGGCATCAGGTCGCGGTAGTTTAGCTCAACGAGGAAGGCACTCTCACCCTGCAGGAGCACCTGAGCGAATCTGAGCGCAAAGCGCGTGTTGCTGACAGCATGCTTGGGTCCAGGCCCTGCAGCCGCCACCGGAATAAGACCTTGCCCAACGCGCTGGGACAAAGCAATCTGCAAAAGCCACTGCGTACAAGGCACGTGATGGCGCTCCCACCTCACAGCCAAGCGCAGGAAACAAGCAAAGGAAGGGCGAGCCAATTCTGCGGTGAAAAATGGCGGGCCACAACAAGAGGCCGTTCCCGCCAGTCGCAGCCAACCTCTCCATTTCTCGATCTTCAAAGCCTCATCCCTCAGGCCGAGAGGCAGTTCAAAAGCCTCCCGGTTCCAGGCAAACGTTCTGGTGGGCACTTCGATTTCCTTCCGGCCTCGGTGCAAGTCTGTTCTCTCGCGTTGAAATGAGATTCCCACATTCAAATATGCCAAAGTAACTATGCAGGCCACTTGCTACGTTACAAAATCATCCATGGCAGGGCACGAGTGAATTGATTCAATTCAAAACAATGCCCAAGCACGTGCGCTGCAAAGCGCGTGCCACGGGCACAAGTACATAGCTCTCAGGCTGCAGCCCTCAGGAAGAACGTTTCGCCACCACGCGCCTGCAAGCAGCAGCAATCGTGCAGCCACAGATGGAGGGAAGGGACGGAGGAATGAAAGGAAGAAAAGGAAGAACAGGAACAAAGAAAGAAAGAAAGAAAGAACGAAAGAAAGAAAGAGAGAAAGAAAGAAGAAAGAAACCAAAGAAACAGCAAGAACCAGCGCAGCGAGGAAAGTGCACCGCAGGAACAGCCAGCAGCGAGGAAAGTGAACCGCAGGAACAGCCAGCGCAGCGAGGAAAGTGCACCGCAGAAACAGCCAGCAGCGAGAAAAGTGCACCGCAGGAACAGCGCAGCAAGGAAACAGCAAGAAAAACGCAAGCAAACAGCAAGCAAGAAAAGCAAGACAGCAAGACAGCAAGCAAGAAAAACAGAAAGCAAGAAAACAAGCAAGCAAGAAAGCAAGAAAGCCAGAAAGCAAGAAAGCAAGCAAGCAAGAAAGCAAGAAAGTCAGAAAGCCAGAAAGCAAGCAACAAAACAAGAAAGCCAGAAAGCAAGAAAGCCAGAAAGCAAGAAAGCAAGAAAGCAAGCAAGCAAGCAAGAAAGCAAGAAAACCAGAAAGAAAGAAAGCAAGAAAGCAAGCAAGCAAGCAAGAAAGCAAGAAAGCAAGAAAGCCAGAAAGCCAGAAAGCAAGCAAGCAAGCAAGCAAGCAAGCAAGCAAGCAAGCAAGCAAACAAGCAAGCAAGCAAGCAAGCAAGCAAGCAAGCAAGCAAGAAAGCCAGAAAGCAAGCAAGCAAGCAAGAAAGCAAGAAAGCAAGCAAGAAAGCAAGAAAGCAAGAAAGCAAGCAAGGAAGCAAGGAAGCAAGCAAACAAGCAAGCAAGCAAGCAAGCAAGCAAGCAAGAATGCAAGAAAGCAAGAAAGCAATCAAGCAAGCAAGAAAGCAAGAAAGCAAGAAAGCAAGCAAGCAAAAAATCAAGCAAGCAAGCAAGAAAGCAAGAAAGCCAGAAAGCCAGAAAGCAAGCAAGCAAGAAAGCAAGAAAGCCAGAAAGCCAGAAAGCAAGAAAGCAAGCAAGCAGGCAAGCAAAAAACCAAGAAAGCAAGAAAGCAAGAAAGCCGGAAAGCCAGAAAGCCAGAAAGCAAGAAAGCCAGAAAGAAAGCAAGCAAGCAAGAAAGCAAGCAAGCAAGCAAGCAAGAAAACAGGAAAGCCAGAAAGCAAGCAAGAAAGCAAGCAAGCAAGCAAGAAAGAGAAAGCAAGCAAGAAAGCAAGAAAGCAAGCAAGCAAGCAAGCAACAAAACAAGACAGCCAGAAAGCAAGAAAGCAAGCAAGAGAGCAAGAAAGCAAGAAAGCAAGCAAGAAAGCAAGAAAGCAAGCAAGAAAGCAAGATAGCAAGAAAGCAAGAAATCAAGCAAGCAAGAAAGCAAGAAAGCCAGAAAGCAAGAAAGCAAGCAAGCAAGCAAGAAAGCAAGCAAGCAAGCAAGCAAGCAAGCAAGCAAGAAAGCCAGAAAGCAAGGAAGCAAGCAAGAAATGAAGAATGCAAGAAAGCAAGAAAGCAAGGAAGCAAGCAAGCAAGCAAGAAATCAAGCAAGCAAGAAAGCCAGAAAGCAAGAAAGCAAGCAAGCAAGCAAGCAAGAATGCAAGAAAGCAAGAATGCAAGAAAGCAAGCAAGCAAGCAAGCAAGCAAGCAAGCAAGCAAGCAAGAATGCAAGAAAGCAAGAAAGCAAGCAAGCAAGAATGCAAGAAAGCAAGCAAGAATGCAACAAAGCAAGCAAGCAAGGAAGCAAGCAAGAAAGCAAGGAAGCAAGCAAGGAAGCAAGCACGCAAGCAAGCAAGCAAGAAAGCAAGCAAGAAAGCAAGAAAGCAAGCAAGCAAGGAAGCAAGCAAGCAAGCAAGCAAGCACGCAAGAAAGCAAGCAAGCAAGGAAGCAAGCAAGAAAGCAAGAATGCAAGAAAGCAAGCAAGCAAGCAAGCAAGCAAGACAGCAAGCAAGCAAGCAAGCAATCAAGAAAGCAAGAAAGCAAGCAAGCAAGCAAGCAAGCAAGAAAGCAAGAATGCAAGAAAGCAAGCAAGCAAGCAAGCAAGAAAGCAAGAAAGCAAGAAAGCAAGAAAGCAAGCAAGCAAGCAAGCAAAAATGCAAGCAAGCAAGCAAGAATGCAAGAAAGCAAGAATGCAAGAAAGCAAGCAAGCAAGCAAGCAAGCAAGCAAGCAAGCAAGAATGCAAGAAAGCAAGAAAGCAAGCAAGCAAGAATGCAAGAAAGCAAGCAAGAATGCAACAAAGCAAGCAAGCAAGGAAGCAAGCAAGCAAGCAAGCAAGAAAGCAAGCAAGCAAGCAAGAAAGCAAGAAAGCAAGAATGCAAGAAAGCAAGAAAGCAAGCAAGCAAGAAAGAAAGCAAGCAAGAAAGCAAGCAATCAAGCAAGAATGCAAGAAAGCAAGCAAGCAAGCAAGCAAGAATGCAAGCAAGCAAGAAAGCAAGCAAGCAAGAAAGCAAGCAAGCAAGAAAGCAAGAAAGCAAGAATGCAAGAATGCAAGAAAGCAAGCAAGCAAGAAAGAAAGCAAGCAAGCAAGCAAGAAAGCAAGCAGGCAAGCAAGCAAGCAAGAATGCAAGAGAGCAAAAAAGCAAGCAAGCAAGAATGCAAGAAAGCAAGAACGCAAGCAAGCAAGAATGCAAGAAAGCAAGAAAGCAAGCAAGCAAGCAAGCAAGCAAGAATGCAAGAAAGCAAGCAAGCAAGCAAGCAAGCAAGACTGCAAGAAAGCAAGCAAGCAAGCAAGCAAGCAAGCAAGCAAGCAAGCAAAATGCAAGAAAGCAAGAAAGCAATCAAGCAAGCAAGAAAGCAAGAAAGCAAGAAAGCAAGAAAGCAAGCAAGCAAGAAATCAAGCAAGCAAGCAAGCAAGCAAGCAAGCAAGCAAGCAAGCAAGCAAGCAAGAATGCAAGCAAGCAAGCAAGCAAGCAAGAAAGCAAGCAAGCAAGCAAGCAAGAATGCAAGAACACAAGAAAGCAAGCAAGCAAGAATGCAAGAAAGCAAGAAAGCAAGCAAGCAAGAATGCAAGAAAGCAAGAAAGCAAGCATGCAAGAATGCAAGCAAGAAAGCAAGAAAGCCAGAAAGAAAGCAAGCAAGCAAGAAAGCAAGAAAGCAAGCAAGCAAGAAATCAAGCAAGCAAGCAAGAAAGCAAGAAAGCCAGAAAGCCAGAAAGCAAGCAAGCAAGAAAGCAAGAAAGCCAGAAAGCCAGAAAGCAAGAAAGCAAGCAAGCAGGCAAGCAAAAAACCAAGAAAGCAAGAAAGCAAGAATGCAAGAAAGCAAGAAAGCAAGCAAGCAAGCAAGAATGCAAGAATGCAAGAAAGCAAGAAAGCAAGCAAGCAAGCAAGCAAGCAAGAAAGCAAGAAAGCCAGAAAGCAAGCAAGCAAGCAAGAAAGCAAGAAAGCAAGCAAGAAAGCAAGAAAGCAAGAAAGCAAGAAAGCAAGGAAGCAAGCAAGCAAGCAAACAAGCAAGCAAGCAAGCAAGCAAGAAAGCAAGCAAGCAAGCAAGCAAGCAAGCAAGCAAGCAAGCAAGCAAGCAAGCAAGCATGCAAGAAAGCAAGAAATCAAGAATGCAAGAAAGCAAGCAAGCAAGAACAGAAAGAATAGAGAGAGATGAAGTCTGAATTGTCAATCCTTCACTCTAGGTGCTAAAGCCCGGCTGTGATCGCGTCCAAGCGCAGCAATCTGAAGCTTGCCTTTCTGGAGTCTTCACCCAGCCCCCCTTCCAAGGCACACAGAACCCCTCGCCTTTCAAATGTATAACGTGCGCATCGGGCGGCAAAGAACCGTCCTCCGTGGATTCCGCATCGTTCCTTGGCAAAAAGAAAATGCCGACGCTTCTGCCGCCCTCGTGTCGGCTTTGCGAGAACTGCAACACATCAGTGGGGTCACTTAACCAAGGTTCGGCTAACCTTTGGGCTCCCCTCGAAAGGTGGCCGTGGCATGATTGTTTAGACAAACTGTGCCCAACCATGCAACAAACACATAATCAGCTGCAACAAAGCACAAAGCATAAAAATGGCAGCGACCCGCGACTCAGTTGCAAATCAAGTTTCAAATATTGTGTCGGCAATCCTCGAGACGGGTGCGAACTGGGTGCAAGATGTCGCATGAAAGGCCGCGCCACCAACATGACTCGAACAGGCCCGATCAAGGGCATGGTTTTCAGGCAGTTTAGGATAGTATACTATGCCCCTGTTTCAAGTGGAGTAGACCTTCGCGCCTTGTCTTACCCTGAGAACAAGCAGTGGCTCCGATCCCAAGCCGAGCTGCCATACATCGTGACCTGCAGATTGCCCTTCGAAGATTCCAACCTCAGGCCGCACGAAAACAGCGCTTCGGCCACTCTCGTCGCCAAGCGCGGCCCAGCGGCTCGATGCTTCGCAGGGAGCTACAGCAAGCGCTGACGTCTTTCCTGCGAGCTATGCGAAGCCCCATGAAGGCGCTGAAGCGAGTGGGGTTGTACGGCTCAGGAATTTGGTTCAAGCCTTCTGCAGTGGTGCATGGGTGAGAATTCGCACAGGGAGCAAGGGCCTCATCCCACCCAACGGGAATCCACTCTTGCTTCTAGGATTCTAGGAAGGGTTCTGAGAACCCGTGTGGGAATAGGAGGCTATGATCTCCGCGTATTTGCCAGCAGGCCAAGGCGCATGATATCCACATCACCCTGCGTCAGCAGGAAGGCCAGCGCTGCTTGCGAAGGCCCTGGCATAGCATCCCCTCCTATGAGGCTCCTATGAGGCCCGCTGTCTGCAAGGGACCTTCCAAACTGGTTCAGTTCATCTTGGTTTCCTGGAAAAACAAAAGAAACAAAAGTAAAACACCAGCAAACAAGGTTTCCTACAAAAGAAGATTCTTAGATTTCCCTGTAAAACCAGCAAATCCAAAAAGAAAAAAACACATGTTTCTCTAGCGAACATGTACGAGGAAGGGCTCCCAATAAAGGCACGCCCTGCGCTGCAAGGAGTCTAAATTTATTGGTTGCCTCAAATCTGCCACTTAAAAACAAAGCTTCGGGCAAATCAGACCGGACGGAAGGATGGAGAAACGAAGAAACCTGCTTGTGTGATTCTCTCCGCGTGTACATTGAGCACAGGCAAAGGTTTGCAGCATGGCCCTGATGGCTCGCAGAGCTATAAGATGGGGCGGATCGGAAGTTCGAACAACTCACGGGTAGATAGTTGACCCGCTCGAACAAATAAAGGCGTCAGACATTCCATTGAGAAGCCTTAGCATCAACAAGGAGAAACATTAGGATTTTGTTGCGCTCTCAAAATCCATTTTGGCTGGCGTAGGGATGTGACCTCCAACTATTGAAACCAGTAACGTAACCTGCAAAGGTACCGACGGCATGTTCAGCTCATGCTGGATTCATCCACCTGGATGTGTAAAGCGAAAAGTGGAGATTCCCCTCTAAGGTTTCCCATCAAAACAAGCAAAGTGACCTCCACCAGAATATCCCCAAGCCATGGATTTGTCGTGACTGGGCACTGTGTGCCCGTTCAGCGCCTTTGAACTCCTCCAGGAGGTCCCGCCAGCGGTCCCCCAGCTCGCCCTCGTTCTCTTTGTGGAACAGCGCCGCTTCCGTGAGGCTTTTCTCAGGCAACGCGGCACCCAGGGACACGACATCGACTTCCATTTGATTTGTCTCGTTTATTGGTCTGTTTAACCAAATCCTTTAATCTGAGGGGGGCAAACAGTTGGGATTCAATGAGTTGCAGCTGCTAGTGCTCTTTGAGCCTGATCTAAGCCGGGCTTAGCACTTTCCAAGAGGCATTCCAAAGGTAAGGCAACCAAAACAAACCCGAGATGCACGGCCAAAACGAGAAACACTGGGAAGGCCTCGAATTAAGAACCCCCAAAGTCCGAAATTATTGACTGTCCCTGGGGTTCTGTTTGAATCAACCCGCAAAAGACGGGTTGCTCAACTTGCTCAACTGAAGCCCTAGTGGGGTAATACTACAACTAGGCAGACCAACACTCTCTGATTGATTTTGAAGAACAGGAAAACTCTGAGTTGCCTTCCCTATTGGCTCAATACTAAACAATCCCCCAAAAAATGGAATGCCTAAGCAAAAGAAGAACCCACCCCAACTGGAAGAGCACACGCGCATTCTGAAAACCGTTTTCCTAGCTGTTCACACTGCGTTTGTCCGCGTTTGTCAGGTGCCAAAGAGGGAAAAAGGGGGAAACAAAAGAAGAAGAAAAAACGCGAAACCCACGAACGCGACCCAAACATACCCAAACCAACCCCCCCCCCCCCACCCCACCCCCCTTCAGGAGAGGCGCCCAGGTGGCGAACCACTGAATCGCCTCCACGGAGTTCCGCATGATGAGCATGCCGCCCTGGAGCCGCACCAAGCCCTTCCTCGGCATCCGGCGATCCGGGTCCCGATCCGGGCGGGAGAAACTCACGACGAAAGCCCGGCGACCCGAAGAAAACGTCGAACCAGATGGCCCAGGCGCAAGTCGAAGAAAGGTCGAACAGGAGTTTGGAGTTTCTGGTTTGGGCTGATCAGTTTTAGTAGTGGCGCGAAAGGTCTTCTTAGTGGCGAACCAGCCAGTCAAACAGAAAGGGAATTGAGGGTGCCACTGAACAACTGGGTCCTCTCCCTTGGGGAGAAAAACACGTGTCAATCTCCATCCTGGAAAAAGCTGGAAAGCTGGCAAAGGCCTTCCTGTAGTTTCTGGCACCCAACCCCTTGACTCGCGTTTTCTCCTTCAAGCAACCTTGGAAGAACCCAGCCAAGGAGTGCCCCGCTTTGAAATTATAAGCAAACCTGGTGACTCCATCGGGCCGTGCGCAAAGGAAACATGTCTGTGGAAGTGTCCCTTTCTGGGCTCCGGGGCGGCGCCCGATTTTTTCCAGACCCCGGTTTTTTCCAAAACCTGGCGGTGTTGCTCGTGAAGTGAGAACTGCCTTGAAGAAATTGCGCCCGATCAAAATCACTGCTGAATGCCTCCAATCGGCTTCTTGGTGCGAGCCAGCTCCGCCGGAGAGCCCCAGGGCACGTGCCGCGTGCCGTCATAGTAGGAGAAAGCCACGTCCACTTGCCGCCTCCATTAGGCGAGGCAAAAGGTGTGCCTAATGGGGTGAGGCATGAGGACACCCTGAAGCCTTTACACAGGGGACAGAAATCCTGCAGTTGGGATGGAGGAATGATTGTGTCCATCCATAGTTGGGCCTAAGAACGGCTCTCGCCTTTTGCGGGTTATTTTAGTTAAAGGGAAACCAAACGGAAAACTTCCTTCAGTGTGCGGTCTTGAGACAAACTTAAAGAAAGCCAAACAGGGCAGTGGACACATCCAGCACGGGACTCTTACCAAGATGCTGCTGCAAAAGCTCGAAGACGTGCAGAAATGGCTTTACCTAAGCTCACAAAATCAACGCCGACCAACACGTCATGCATGGGCAAACCAGCACCAACAACACCGGTTTGTTTTTGATTGAAAAGCCTAGACTTGCACCGGGCTCAGCTACAACCAGCATGTCCGAGTCCATGCAAATCACGAAATCCACCTCTTTCTCCGGCAGCAACTTGCGCTGCCAAAGCCAAAGGTACTGCTGCAACTTGAGGGATTGGTATGAGAGCCGCCGGTAGGACTCCGCTTCCGTCGGGTCGGAATGCGAGCTTAGCTGGTCCTCGTGCTCCTGATTGCATGGTGGTGTTTTTTGTTTTCCTCCTCCTTGCTGTGACATCCGCTTTATCGCTTCAAAAGGGGGGATGCCCTTCGTATCACGCCATGTGCCCCTAAAACACAACTTGCCAAATCATGGATTGAATCGTCAGCCCTGAAGCACCGGTACACACACACACACACACACACCGCCAGCTGCACCCCCATGCTGCTGCGGCACGTGAAACGCGCTGAACTCCACAAAAGGTAGGAGTCGGGCAACCGCCTGTAACAGGGTGGGCCCGCGACTCCACCTTGTTTAAACCATGGTTCCTAATCATCATTCTTCAACCAAAATCGCCGCTTGGTGCTTCGATTTCTTCCCCCCTGTACAGAGGAAACAGAAGGGGCAGGTGGTTTCTTTGTTTCTTCCACATGTTTTTCGCACCTCCAAACTCTGAGGCTCGATGCCAGCCGTGGCCACCATTGCACGAACAGGACCCGGAGACTCGAAGAGGTCGAAGGCTTCAGCGACGCTATGGAGGAAGGGCCCGCAGTAAGTCCAAAAATAGTGCTCCTGCGGGAGAGAGACCCTCCCAACTAACGTGGAAATGCAAAGAGACCTGCAGGAAGACGACGACTTTCGTCGTGCAAGGGTGTAGCAACACGACTTTCGTCGTGCAAGGTGGGTTTTGTGCACTTCCATGCTAGTTGTTCGGAGGGTAGTTGGCTCTTCCAATCAGCAAGAAGGCGACCCAACTGATCAAAGGGCACCAGGGCGCCTATTCTCAGGTCCTTGCAAAAGTGCTCCAACTCATCCCAAAGTGGGGGCGAAAGGCAAAACACCCCAACTGTCCTCCATGCACGAGGTCAAGATCACCGCTCGATTGTTTGGCCCCACGCCATTTGCCACAGCCAGGGACAGCACAGGAGCCAATGGCCCTTGCTGCTTTGCGGTCTCGGCGCGCTGAACCGACGGCAGGTCCCGCAAGATGCCCTCAGAAAGTAGCTTGAATTACTCAGCCGCGCGATTGTGGGCCTCTGCAGGGGCGGCTTGAACATGCCCCCCCGCCAACACACCTGGAGATAGCAGCCCGGCCGCCAAAGCCACGCGCCCTCTGATTCTCCAAGGTAGGGTCCAGCCGGGTGGAAATTCGTGGCAGGCAGGCTTAATCATAGCTCAACTTGAGAGATGGTCAAGGCCAACAAAAAGGCCCCCGAAAAAGCACAACGCAAAGACTAGGTACCATTGCTCTATCCTTGTTTGGTCATTGCTGTACGGGTCGGAGGCTGAAATAGATTGAGGGCAACCAGCTTTATCAATGGGTCAAGATTCAATTTGGGGATTGGTTGTTTTATTTTGGGATGTTTTTGGTTTTCCGTCCTGACTACTAAAATGCTGTAATTTACAGCATTTTCTCGCGACATGTACGTATTTTACGCTAGTCCGTCAACATCATCAGCATCGTTTTGAACATCCCCCGCATGTCCAGCCAACATCCCCAGCATCACCAGCAAATCGAGGGCCTTGGCTTGTTTGGGGGGGGGCATGATGATTGAAAAAGTGATGATTCAATTCGGGCCCAAAAAAATAGCCCCATGATGATCGAAAAAGTGACGATTCAATTAGGGCCAACAATATCTGTTATATATAAAAAGGCAGCAGGGGGGTAGGGGGGTGCGGCAGCCCCCCCCATGATGATCAAAAAAGTGATGGCGAGGGGCACCAAAGAGGATGCTGAAAAACCAACTGGGCGAAAAGCCAAAGCCAGAAAGCCGCCAAAAGCCACAAGCAGCGGAACTGGCAATGCAGAGGATGCGAAACGCCAAAGCTGCAAAAGCCGCATGAACCCACAGAGGAACTGTGAATGCACCACGTAAAAGCCACAAAAGCCCACGTAGAAGCTACAAAAGCCAAAAAGCCGAAAAGCCACCCACCCTGAAAAAAAAAAAAATCCTACAAAAAAACGGAAGAAAAAAACTTTAAAAAATGGCCCTCCTTTATCAATTGCTGTCCTAGCTTCCGTTGATAGCCTCCCATCCGCAAGTCTTGGAAGACAGTTTTCTTTATAAGAGGCTCTCAGGTGGGTTTCCATGCTACTGGACAAGGCTCCGCAGCCCACTGACGATGAATCCTCTTCCGCCACCTTCGCCAGCGTCGAGGACCCTGCAGGCGCCCCAATCTGAACTTGATCGTTTCATCTCCTTGTTCCGGGAACTAATTCCTTTTCCATTCTTTTCAATCGTGCTTTTCAAACGCCAGCCGTTTTTCCTGGGTTTTGAGAGGTCTTCTTAAAAGAAGGATCCTGGAAAGAATGGGAAAGGTACCCCTGGACTTGCTGGATGCAAACCAATGAGAGCCATGATCAACAATCCCAGATACTGGACCTTGGAACGAGATTCCCCTGTTGTTGGAAATTTGATGGGAGCCCCCTCCATGCCCTTCGCATATGGACCATAGATTGAGGATCTTTGGGCTGAAGCATGGGCTGTTTGGATACAACTCATGTGAGCCATGGTGAAGACTCCTTCCTTGACGTGAACCCCAGGTGGGTGTGGCTCAAAAATTAAAGAGCTAGGGTTACACAGGTGTTCGTCTTTTTCCATTTACCAGGGCAACCCCCAAAAGATGCTACATTTTTCTTGAGCCACAGCCAGGTGCAAGGCACCGGCTTGACATGGCACCTACCGCAAGACCGCACCGCCGCCTGGGTCACCTCCACCAGGCGCCGCAGCGGCGCCGGGATCACCGTGGCCGAGTCCGCGGGGGACTGCGCCGACGCTCCCGCCGCGGACTGCGAAGCCGCGGGCTGGGACGCGAAGGCCGCGATCACGGTGCCCTCGATGCACCCGGCGGGGTTTGGGGAAAAACCCAAAAAATGAAGAGGAAGAAAGCCAAAAGACGGGTTCCACCAGCAGAAAACGGGCGCCGAATTTTGGGACAGCTCATTTTACTGGCTTGGTGTTGATTCTAGGTTTACCCCACGCCCAGGAAACCGGCGCCAGGAGGAATCCTAGGAAAGCGAGGGCCCTAAATTGGAGGGTGTCCTATAAATTCTTGGTTTGGGGGGGGGGAACTTACGCTGAAAAAGTAAATGGCACAATTCCGTGTCTGTGGCAAGCATATGGGATCACAAAACGTACTGTGGCCAGCCTGAAGGAGAAACAAAAGACACGCGGCCTCCCAAGAAATGTGTTTTTCGCTGGATTCTCAGAACCGTTCTGGGTCAGAACCGTCAACGGAAGGCCTCTCGCCTGAACGCCTTAAAGCTTTAAAGCTTTATGGGTCGGCGTTGTTCCCGCGATTTCTTAGCCCAAAAGGAAAAGCATGAGTGAGGCCCCATGAGACATAACCATTTTAGAGATGCATCGATAGCCGGTGGGAGTCGGCATTCTTGGTCACCCAGCCTCGGCTGCCCCGAGGCCGGACCAAAACTTCCGCCGGGCCTGGGAAATCTCATCCTGCCAAGGTGTGATTCAAGCCTGTCCCAGGAATGGGGTGCGTCACTTCTTAGACACCCAAACTGGTTGGCATCCTTTTGGCTTTCCTTGAGGAAGCACCCTAAGAATCGGTACCCTGGACAATGTTGCGGACATTCACTACGGTTTGATTGGAAAACATCTATGTTTGAAACAACCCCTTAACGGGCTATGTTCAAACCACCACTTTCGGCCAACCCCTTGTTTTAGACCTTGTTCAAACCGTGGTTTGAACCACTATTGCTTAACCCATCTCCTTCTGGCTCCCCCTTACATGGGTTTGACGGGCCTGGGCATAAGGCCACCAGATTTCGCGACAAGCCCATCCTGGTCTTCGTCCACGTCGCCCACCAGATTCCGATCGGCGGAGAACCCCCGCTTTGTGCCGCGCACAAAGGGAAACCGCTCAGCCTCCAGGAATTCATGAATCGGCGCCTGGCCGCGTCTGCTCAATGGGACGTCAGCCCAAAAACCGTGCGCTTTCTGCAACCCCCCGCTGAAAATCAGCAGAACCAAGAACCAACGAACAAACAACCTGCCCAGAACAATGAAGGTGGCCTAGCTCATGTAACTATTGGCCAGATTTGGAACGCCAAGCTTGCTTTGGGCGCTATAAAGGCAAAACTCCACTGATGCAAGCTCGCCTTGTACAAGGCGTTCTTCGTGTCCGCGCTCAGCCACAGAAACTCTTGGACCAAGTTCCGGTCCAGAAAGGGGTATCGCGTTTCTACCCCGTGGGCTCCTGCTGTGCTCTCCTCCTTCGCAAGGTAGTCCCTTTGCGTGCCGAGGAAGAAATTCAACCAGGGAAATACGCTGGAGAGCTCCTCAGAGATGTCAAAGACCCAATGATGTCTCAATGCAAACCGGAAATTCCGTTTTTCCCCCATGCACCAGGCTTCTGTTGGAACTTCTGCCTCCACGTTCCCACCCCAGCTCCTCAGGAAACTCGCCTCTCAGGGTGCTGTGAAATTCAAAGGCCACGCCGTTGGTGCCGTAGTCCGAAATGATTTCATCCGCGCCGGTGCCTGGCAGGGCTTGAAAGCTGGCCACTTCCGAATAAACATGTGGAAAAAAACAAGCAGCTGTTTGAACAGTATCCAAAAGGATGCTCCCGTGGAAAGTCGGCCAGGTCCTGACTCGGTGCTGAAATGCCCAATGGGGGGGGGTCTGAGAAAGGAGAAAGTTGAACAGGTGTCCATCCCCACTTGACGTCCTTAGGAAGAAAAGCAAACCGTGCAGCACTTAGCACCCCAAGTAAGGGCTTGCGACCAACCCTGCCTGAAAGGAACATCCTTTGACCAGCAAAGGAGGCCTGGCGGTAAATCCAGGACAGGCCGGCGGCAGCCTTGTCGTCCACGTTGGCATACCCGGGCCGCAGCTTGTAGAGCACCCTCTCGGCGCGGTCATGCAGAAAAAGCTTCTCCTGACTCATTGGCGACAGGTCTATTGAAGTAACATGCTTTGACTTTGAATGGTGGTTTGAAATGAAACAACCCCCAAAAGACTTTTCAAGAACTCCTACGTTCACTTGAATGAACACGGTCAAATATGACAGGGGGAAAAGGAGGTGAGTCAGAATCAACACCTGGTACTAAAATGGTCTACCAGCGTAAAGAATGGACCAGGCGGAAATCCGATTGGCTAGGATTGTCCCGCACTGGCCTTCTACCCGAATCGATTTTCAGCCTGTTTCTCAGGTGCTTGGCATCTCCTTCTGGAACTGTTCGGTTGAGAGCTGCGTCAGCTTCCACGTTGAGTTCACCCGCCGGCTCAGCTCCACCAGCCGTGCCACCAGGACCCGCACATCCTCGCGGGCCTGCGCCAAAGGGCCCCGGGAAGGGCGGGAAATGGCCGCCGGAAGTTTAGTCAGTGGGCACTTCCTTTTAGATTGAAGGGAACTCTTCGATTTTCAGCATCTTGAACACAAAGAGGTAAGACATTCGCAAACTTCTTTGATGCCAGGGCGGTCCTTTTCCTACCTTTTGTGGGACCCGCTTGGCATACCCCCAGAAAACCCATAATTTTTGGGGGAACCTGGTCTCTTACTGGGGAGCGCTCCCCGCCCCCCCCCCAAAAAAAAAAAAAAAATGGTGAAGGATTCCCCCAAACAAGGAAAGGCCCCCTCTCAACGAACCCTGGGTTTCGAGGCAGTCTGCAAAGGACGGCCTGCACAGTATACATAGCCGGCTGGATGCCCAATTTGCCGAGGGAAAGCGCGATGCTGCCGCTATCGTAGCCGTCGCTCAGGCACATGGCCGGGGTGGCGCGGCCAGGCGCGAATCTGGAGGAACCGGTGCGCTTTTGCACGGCCCGCACGAAGGCCTTCTGCCAATCGCTGGTGCTCGTCTTGTGCTGGCGCAGGTCAAACTCGAAGACCGTGGTCTGCCGAGCAATCGCAGGAGCCTTTGTCTCCAAATGCGAATGCTTCAGTCAAAAGACCCTTGTGTTTTTAAAGGTGAAAGACCTTCAACAACCCCAAAAAGGCCCTCAAAGCAAGACATGCGCGCCTCTGTTGGTTTGACCGGTGGTTCGCTGGCTGCCGCAGGCAGCTCCAGCACCAGCACGCTGTTGGGCTCCACCTGGTGGATTTCCGCATCCTGGCCGTCAGGCACCCTCGCTGCTCATTTCACCTGAGGGGACAAACTTGGTTGACGTTGGAAGGGGAGCTAAAATTCAAATGTTAGCAGTTAAGTGGGGAGTTCAACCACTAAACCACAAGAAGCCAAGATGTAAAATGTGTCCCAACCACAACCATGACAAAGGGAGCTGGGCGGAATCCCCTGAACTGAGTCCTTGAAGTCCAGGCGTCGCAGGGCCGACGCGTAGGAAGACACTGCGAACTTCCCGTCCCCGCGAGCAAACCAGAGGGGCTTTGAGCCGAAGGGATCCTCGGTACGTCCAAACTCCCGGGATCCCTTTGGTTGGCCTCGCATAGGGGTTGGACTGGGTGCAAAACGGGAGGTTTGGGGGGAATGCCAAACGCGCAACGCAAGCAGGGCAAAGAGCGCAATAATGCCAAGTGTCCCTTGCCAAGAACGCTTCCCTTCGAGCAAAGTCAAAGAGAGCCAGCGCAAACTCACCATCGAGCCGCTTGACAAAGTCACCACCATGCCCTGGAATGCACGAAATGCGGATCTGGTTTGGAGAAGGAAGAACAGCGAACCCAGTCATTTTGCATGGGCCCTACCTGCCAATCAAAGCACTTTCTTAGAACTCACCTGACCTGCCTCAACCAGAAGAAGTACGATTGCTGCACGTGCGAATGTAGATGATTTTTAGAAAGAAGTCCCGTCCCCCCTCGTCTCTTCAAGCAAAGGCTTTGGAGCCATAGGGGAGGCCATTGGGTTCATAGCTCTTGGCTCAGGGACCGGGAATGGCAAAATCTGGCGAGTTGCTCCGGTACTCGCTGAGAAGCGCATCCCCGTCAGACCGGAAGGAGGCGGGCTCTACCTGCAGCTCCTCCCAATTGTAGATCTCGCCTCGGATCGCAGTGCGCCGCCACGGAAGGGGGTGGACAACAAAGAAACAAACGAACAGCATGGCTCATGGGGTGAATCTCTGATCTTCATCTTGGGTGCTCCCGCAACAGGCAAAAGACGCTCGCAACTGGGGGAGCGCCCGACTTTCATTGTCGTTTGGTTCGACTCGACATGGATACGAGAGATGATGCAGGGCCAACAAAGTGAACCCCCATAAGGTAACCTTCACCATGGCCTCATTGGGTGTTTTGGAGGCTGCTCAGTGCCATGTTTCTCTGAGGGGACCCCTCCCACACCGTGGGCTGAGACGCCGTTGAAGAGCGCCACCACCATGGCACTCGGGTCATGGAATGGCTGCAGGACCTTGTCCCCGGTCATGTGCAGCAGGTTGTGGACGAAGTCAAAGCCTGGGTTCAGCGATAGCCCTTGGTTCTTAGCCCTGGATACCACCATGCACCAAACTGTTTGTACACTTTTTAGTCTCTCAGTGGGGAGCCAAAGCCTGGTTATTGAGTCACAACTTCTGCCCTATGAAAGCGTATCGGGCAAAGCCCAACCCAAACTTGTTCGGAAAAACCAACAACCATCCTGGTAAAACTATGAAAGGATTCTAAGGAGGCTGATGTTGTGGTCAAGAGAGCCATGGCCACGTTTTCAGAACACATATGACACTCGAGGAGAACAAAACCAGGGCATTCAGCTTACCCTACATTTGCGAATTTGGATTTTTGGTTTGGCGGCTAGTGGGTCCCGGGTCCCAATTGCCTCCAAGCAACCAGTTCAACACCCCAAAGCCAACAAAACCAAGTCACAGACGGATCACCTGACTCCTAAAAACGACTGTACTGACTCATTGACTTGGCCAAGCTTCGAGGGTTCTCCGCACTGCCCAATTGAAAGCGTACGAGCAAAGGCTCTCTTGATGGTTTCTGTTGGGTGCTTCAAATTTACAAAGTTAGTTATTTATTAACTAATTTACTTCTTTGTTTCGTGGGCTGTCTTACAAAAGCAAAACATACCTTCCGGCTTCCCTTTGAAGGCTCCTTGCTTGCGCTTTGCCCGCTAGCCTATCCCGGTTGCCGCGGCCACGTGAAAATCTCAGACGGGATGCCATAGCCCTGCCACCGGTTGGTGGCATCAGGGCCACGTGGCTGCAGAAAGAAGTTGGTGTATGCCAGGTTGCGGATGAGCCAGTTGGCCACTAAGAAGCTGCACATGGCGTCGAAAAGGCTTTCCCTTCAAGCCTGACCGAGATTAGCCTCCTTATGACCATGGCGGGTTCACATCCAAGTCCAGAAGCATTAACCTACAGTGGGTGCTCAAGAATGAAGGGATCCATAATGCTGATCTGTCTTCAGCAATGAGCCATCTGGGGTTGAACGGACTAAGGATTTGTTTTGAACAACTTAGGCTGAGAAGGGGACCACCTCTCTGACCGAACCATGATGGTCTGCATGTCCTACCGAAAAATATTGAAAAAGCACAAGCAAACTTACTTGAAATTGTCAACCCAAAGGTGACGTGAGCAATGCAACCAAAATGGGGATATGATGGAAAGAGTTCAGGAACGCTGCCAAGGGATCTTGCAGCTTGCCTTTGACCAGCCCAAATAATGACCTGCAGTGGCACATGGCAGCTGAACCAGAACGGCCACTTCAAGCATGCAAGATGGCGTCGATTCTCAACATGCCCTGGGTGTTATATCCGGGATGTCGTGCAAATACACAATTGTAGGCTATTTAGCATCCGGCGCAGCTTCAACCGATTCTCTGCTTTTCGAGCTACCCCTCAATACACGTATTCCGTCCCTTTAGGGTAACCAAAGCAAGAAACCCTGAGCTGCAAGTTCTCGCCGGATTTTGCTGCCTCTCTGAAGGGCATCTTTCACGCACTTCTCCAAGCTGGACTTGTACTTTGAGTTTTTGGTATCCTTCCCATCCATCCAGTTCTCCAGTGGAGAGTCGATGTTAGAGGGGTAGATGACACAGTTGGTGTTCATGTATGCGGGCACCATGGAAAACGAGCTCTGGGACATGATCAGAATGTGGGCTCTGGCCATGTGGGTCCAGGCAGTTAACATGTCCTCGTTGCTGTCAATATGCTTGTCCAGATGCACCGTCATCCCTCGCTCCCTGTAGCCATCGTAGTCCGAAGATTTCCAATAGTCCTGCTCAACCGCTGGGATATTCTTTGGCGAGCTCCAGACGTGAAAGTCCAGCTCGTCAGGGGGAGCAAGCTCCCTGATTTCTTTGGCTAGACGGTAATAGTAGGAGTCCTTCGTCGCTCGCGTGTCGTCCCTTTCTAGATCTGCGCGCCGAAGATGAATCACCACGGACGTCTTCCCAGGGGCAAACACCAGCGGCCGAGCATCCAGATGCTTCCTCATCTCATCGCGGAGCCAGCCCGGGAAGTACGAGCTCGTTGGCACGCGCCGGTCGTAGCCCCTCAGTTTGGAGGCGTTGCAAACGCATGGGCGTTTCATGTCACTTAAGATGCTGTGGGACTGCCGAGGTCGCACATCTCTATTGCCGGAGCAACTGTCACACTGCAGGAGCAAAAGTCTGCACTTGGAACTCGCGCAAAATATTTTTGATGTTGGGGCAAACCTCGAGCTTGAAATGTGGAGTTATTTTTACAGCTTATAGATTGCTACCCTCCTACCGCATAGCATGGAACCTGCCAGAGGGCCCCTTTTAGGAGAGATCCCTGGCGATCCAAGCCCACTATATACTAGTTTTTTTATCCAAACCAACATCAACCCGCACATCCCCCTCTCCCAACACCAGGCTAGCTTTCCCGGCCAGGAATCCCAATGTCCCCCACGAACCATTGGGACCCAACCCAGCTCCCTGATCCGCCCCAATGACACCATGTGAGACCCCAACGTTCCGGCATTGGAATTCATTCGCCAGGTTGCCATTCGTTCACGGCGTGGCAATACGCCAAATCGTTCGGCCGCAGCGTGGGCACCTTGGTCTCCAGCTCGCGGGCGTTTGAAAACTCCGAGGTGAAGGAGGGCTTGGAGCCTCGGCTTGCTCGCTTCCCGGGGAAGTCCCAATGGCCAACTAGAGGTAGCCGGGCTTGGGTTGGAATTCGATTCATCCTATATACTGTCAAGCTCATCCTCTCCAGGGCTTGCTGGCTTTCAATAGTCATACCACAAATACTCACAATGTAGCACCCCGTTCAACCTGATGTCCTTGGCTCCCTCATAACAAACGGATCTGGAAATTGAAACCCTTGTGGTCCTTCTGGCGGGCAAGCTTCAGGGCGCTTCTGGATCCCGAAAAATGCGGTGGCTTCCTTTCCGCCCATTTTTCGGGGGGGAGGCTCGGAGGGATCTTGCGCATTTGCGAGCGGGGCGCTGATGTTGTAGATGAAGAGATGCCGCGAGGCCCCAGCGCCGAACAAGGCGTCCACCACCACCCGGGAGTTGATGTGCTGGTCTGTCAAGGGCTGCAGCTGCCCTGAGCCAACGAACCCGGGGATACCGGGGTCAAGCTTGGACCTCGCGAATTTATTTTAAACCATTTTCTGGAAGGGAAGGCTAAAACATCGCTACCCAGCTGGTTTAGAGGAAAAGGGTGTGGTTACCCACCCGAATTTCGCCTTTTTGTTTTTTCTTTCGGGGGGCCTTCAAACATGAATAGCTGGATTCGTGGCAAAGTCTTACCCAACGGTAAGTTTGATTAGCATGTGAGCATGTGTAAGGACAGAGCTGGCCCAACCCTGCCTTTTACAAAGGACACTTTTTCACCCATAGCTCATTACCTCGTTGACCTTCACCAAATATATCATCTATTCAAAAGGCTTTGTGTGGGTATGCCGGGAATCCGGATCCCCTTTTGGATGGTTTGACCCTGGTAGGGAATATTGGGACCCCTTTTGGGGTTGACCAGTTTTATCCTGCAGGAAACGTCCAGGAACCTTTCTCAAAATTGGTTTTCATGGATGTTCTTTTGGCACAAGCCACCCTTTGGTCGGCGTTCAAGCCAGTCGTTGGTTGGCCCTTTGTCTGGGTGGGATAGTTCCTCTTTCCCTTCAAGTCCTCGCCCACTTTTGGATCGCTCCTACGAGGCCTCCGAAGTTCAACTTGTTTCGCCAGGAGATGGCTATGGCCTCCAGCACCGATTTCAAGCGGTGCCCCGCCCCATCCGTGTGCTCCAATATGTACAAGCGCGGCGCAGAGAGGCTGTGGAGGTTGCAAACCTGCATGGGTATTCTCCTACATAAATTGGAAGTACAGGCCCCTTCTGAAAGACTGCTTTCCCTTTCGAAAGGAGGTTTGTGCACGTCCATGACTAGCGGAAGCGCAACTACGGTACATACAAAGGGTTGCCTCACCTGCCTTTTCCTCGCAACTCGCCTTCAACTCGCATCGCATCTCCGCGGGAGCTGGCTGTTCCGTGTCTGTGACCTCGGCAGTTTGGGGCACAATCTTCCTCACCCGTCTCACACAGCTTTCGACCTCCTGCTGGTAGGCCTGACGATCTTCGTCTCGGCCATTGACCCAGTTCTCCAGTGGAGAGTCGATGTTGGAGGGGTAGATGACACAGTTGGTGTTCATGTATGCGGGCACCATGGAGAATGAGCTCTGGGACATGATCAGAATGTGGGCTCTGGCCATGTGGGTCCAGGCAGTTAACATGTCCTCGTTGCTGTCAATATGCTTGTCCAGATGCACCGTCATCCCTCGCTCCCGGTAGCCATCGTAGTCCGAAGATTTCCAATAGTCCTGCTCAACCGCTGGGATATTCTTTGGCGAGCTCCAGACGTGAAAGTCCAGCTCGTCAGGGGGAGCAAGCTCCCTGATTTCTTTGGCTAGACGGTAATAGTAGGAGTCCTTCGTCGCTCGCGTGTCGTCCCTTTCTAGATCTGCGCGCCGAAGATGAATCACCACGGACGTCTTCCCAGGGGCAAACACCAGCGGCCGAGCATCCAGATGCTTCCTCATCTCATCGCGGAGCCAGCCCGGGAAGTACGAGCTCGTTGGCACGCGCCGGTCGTAGCCCCTCAGCTTGCTCACAGTTGCTCACAGTTCGGTGCAGCCTGTCCTTTCCACCAGGCCAACACAAAAGCAAAACAGCCACGCGCGTCTTGGGGCCAGCCAGCCAACCCACCAACGTGCCAAGCCACCAAACCCACCAAACCCACCAAACCCACCCACGCACCTGCCCACCCACCCACCAGCCAATCAACCAGCGACCTCACACTTCCATCCTTCCCTGCTGCTGTGCTGCCACTCGTTCACCGCGTGGCAGTACAGGGTTTTTCCCTTCGCAACGCCTGGAAGCCGTGCCTCCAACTGTTTGGCATCATTGAAGGTGCCGTGGATCTGTGGCTTGCGGCTGATGTTGTAGATGTAGAGCTCCTGGAAATCAGTCTGCAAATGCTACCATCATCCCACCTGGCGTGAGGCAAACCCAACTAAAGGAGCTTCAGAATCTCTCCGAGCCCATTTTGCCAACCAAGCCGGCAGAATGAGTCCAGCTGTGCTTCCCCATTCTTTTCGATTATGTACGGTCCTTTTGTTCCTAGCCACGGGCAGCGCTCAAAAGTTGCCTTGACCAACTTTCTTCCCCATCCTCTCCCCAGGGATCCGTCTTTAAAAATGACCCTGGGAGCTTTGTGCACTCGAAGCATAGTGGATCGAGACCAGTGGGTGTTCATGGCTTTTTGATACAAGGTCCGGCGATGGTCAACCGGAAGCCCCAAGTAAAGGGGCAGGTCTGGTCCTTGGAAGCCCCATCTCCGAAAATTGCATCTGTGATGATGCGGAAGTTGATGTGCTGGTCCGTCAAAGGCTGCAGCCTCACAGCACGGCTCTTGCGATAAAATCGCACGGATCTGCAGACACCAGAAACATGCCCTGCGCGCACATGTCAGAAATGCCAGGAACCAGGAGTTATATCCAACTTCCTAACATATCATGTAGTTGGTTTAGCTACAGGAAAAAATATTGTTCCGCTTTCCTTCTTTTTTCTTGGGGGGGGGGGGGGCTGAAGGTAACATTCCCGGGATTTGTCCCGTACTTGACTCCTTTGAGCCCTTTGACATCCCTTTGATCAGCAGGGTTCCTGGAGACATTGTCACACCTTTGTTACAATTCTTACAAGCGAATGCTTGCAATCAGCCGGTGAAAGTGATTTGTCGCTGGCCCAAATCCGTCTTTTTCGGGAATCTAATGGAATCCATGTTCCTACACCGCGCCCGTGTTCGCCTAGCCATGGCACTGGCCGACCAGACCCCCGAAGTTGATGTGGTTGCGATGGGCGATGGCAACTGCCTCGAAGGCTATGGCCCCAATACCCGGGCCCACACAGCTTGCTCTTTGACCTAAGGTGCTTTTGGCGAGTGGGCAAACATACCCATATGAGACACAATCAAAAACTGGTAGTATAATGGTCTACCCAAAGTAATGTAATCAAAAGGGCGGCCGAGCCCTTTGTGGTTGAGACTGTCCTTGACTACCCTTCATCGACCCGGGGTTTGACTGTGGCACATATCCGGAAGCTAAACCTGGTGAATCGGGAGTGTTTCCCATCTGGATTCCCTCTTTTTTTCAGTAGAGCCCCGATGAATTCAACCAGGTTGGGCTTCCCGGCTTCCCATAGCCTAGCGCGCACAAAGAACCAAGCGGGCCGCGCGCGCGCACCTCCAGGATGGACTTCATACGATGCCCCGCGCCGTCGGTGTGCTCCAAGATGAAGAGCCGCGTGGCGCCAACACCGGTGAGCACGCAAAGCGGCAAGCGGCAGGCGGGCTCGCGCGTCTCACCTTCCAAGCATTGGACCCACACCATGGGTTCGCAAACTAAAGCGTGCCAGGGCTCCATTTGTTGATTCCCCCAGCAAGCTATTTACCGAAGTTGACATTACCAGTGAGCTGCTTGGCTCAAAATCGCTTGGATCCGAAGCCCATCGCACTGAAGGGGGTTCCCGCATCCGACAGAAGCCGCCTGTCTCCTCCTTGGACTCTGGCTTCGTCATGGTGCTCTCAACGGAACCCGCCGGCCTCCCACGTTTTTCACTCTCCCAACCGCCCAATGCTGGCGATCAAGCAGCCTATGCACGATCTTCCTTCCCGAAGAAAGCCATGGGACAGGTGAATAACCAGGGCCCCGCCTCGAGCTCTGAGCCGGCAGCTCCTGTCTCAACACGTCTCTCACCTCAGGCGGCTCGCAGCTGGTGGCTGGCGGGGGCGTTGCCTGTGTGCTATGATCAAAAGCCCCTGGCATAGGCGTTCTCGTGCATGGGCGAATCGGTGTTCCATACTTCCCTTTTGGATCGATGACCATGCCTACCATCCCCCCACCAAGAAATATATGCTTTCCCATTAGCCAGTCAAAACGTGGGATTCCGCTCAAGGCCATGGATAAATTAGTGAGCCCCTGGTGTTTGTTGAGTGCCCCCATGTCCCTCCCAAAACCTCATATCATGAACCACCTTACCAGAGGCTATCAGGGCGCTATCAGGGCCTTTGCAGCCCAGCGGCATTCGTATTGGCCGGGTCCAGCAAGCCACCCACATCGGTCAGTGAGACCGTCCTGCCAGCCAGCCAAAAAAACATGCCTGCTGAGGCTGAAGCCCTAGACATCGACACGTGTAGGGTGATCAGAACCAAACTGAAACCAGTGCCATCCGCGTTCAACCAAAGGGACCTGAAAGCACTGAAAGGACATATGCTGAAGCATGCTTGCCCAAAAACACTCGCAGCAATGCAGTCGAGCAGCACCAGCCCGACCAGCACTCCAAATCCTGAGTTGCCAAGAGCTGAAGGCATGTAAAGTCTGATTGGCCCCTCATAAATTGTCAGGCATAAAGCAGGCCTCTGCTGCGGGGGGGGGTGACCCCTGATTGGCACGGCTCTCCGGAGAAATCCGACGCTGACATTGAAGCGAATAAGCATGGCACCGTAGCAAAGCAAGCTCTTGCTCGGCAGTCTGGTCGGCATGCCGCATCCCCTTGGGCCAACACGGCTGGGGATTCCAGAAGGCTTGCTCACGGCTGAGCCGCGCCCCGCACATTTTTTCTTCAATCCCCAAGACCTGAGGGAAAATGGGTGGGCCGCTTGGTTGTGTGGGCAATCTAATGGGTGGCCCAGGATTCCAACAGTAGAACAGCAATATTGCAAGTTGCTCAGCTGACCGGCACTTGCCCAGCTTTCAGGCACCATCCACTTTGCCAAAGCACCCAAGTTCCTCCTACACTCGGCTGGCACCCACCAAAGCCAACCATGCTTTCTCCTCTTTGCGGGTGTTGCAGGGGACAGCTCACCGCCTTCCCATGTGCAACGCCCACGCCGCGCACTCTTTTGCTCGCACGCTCACCGGCGCTTGGTGACGAGGCCCTGGGAGCGCCAGCGCCAGCGCCTCAGAAACGGTCAGGCCATGCGCAGTGGCCACACAGTGCCTCCCTTTGCTGGGGGAGCTGGGGGATGGTGAGAACTGGTCGGTTCTCAAACTGTTTGAGCCGTTTCCCTGAAACGACAAGCAAATCAATCCATCAGTTCATCACAAGGGTGCCCTCCACCGGTAGCCATAAGATAACAGGTACTCAGTAGGAAAGGGAAGGACACCCTTGCCAAGCAAAACCCAACGCTAAGCATCTTGAACGTGAGCATCTTGAAGACACGGGCAACCAAACGTCGCGCACCCACCTCCCGCATCCCCCAACTTCTCTGAGCAGGCGTGGACGCGATTAAGCGCGGCTCCTTGAGTGATTGATCTCCACAGAGCCATGCAAGTCCTCATGGCGAGAAATAAGCAGTCTTCCATCCGCAGTCTTCCTATCCGCAGTGAGAGTGCTTTGGACCAACCCGCAGGTTTAAGCCACAAGTGTCCTATTGTGGTGGACCAGGGCTGGTTGCTTAGGCAAAAACTGTTCAACTTCAGGGGCAAAGTGAGCAAGCTCAAAACAACCCTGCAAGTGAAGACTTCGTGGGCTCTGCTTCTTGCCCTCAGGCCCAACCCATACCACACCTTGCCGACGAATGAATCCGAAAGCCTTTAACACTTCACAACCCTTGGTATGCTTGCAAAAAAAAAGAAGCACTTTGTGTTTTGCAGCCCCCGACTCAACTAAAAAGTGAACCCAAAGACAACAAAGAAACAAAAAGACATCTGCCCAGAGCAGTGAAGCTTACCCTGTCAGCCCTCAAGTTAGTTGCTGGGAGGCGTACATGCCTTGGCCAAAACGACGTCCTCAAAAATTCCGCGACTCAGCTGGGCCGCCGGGCCAGGATGAACCTGTCACGACGCTGCAGCAGGAGCGTCTTGAGCCTCTCGGTTGGATGCATGGGGCAAAGAACAACCAAAAAAAACTGTCCCCTTCTGGTTTCTTTTTTTTTTTTGGTCTGTTGCTTCCCGAAAAAGAAAAAAACACTTGAAAGCAAGAGAGGGTCTTAAGTAGAGCTCGGCACCCCGAGCTCAAGGGACTCAGGCCGCCGCTTTGCGCCCCGTACTCCTGACAAATAGCAATCTTCCAGCCCCCAGCCACTCCTCCCGCTGTTTTGTTCCCTCCTGTTCCAAGAAAAAGCCATGCGCCACTTCCTGGGTTAAGTTTGGCCCCTTGTCTCTCTCTCGTGGTTTGCAACTGTAGAAACGAAACTTAGTTCTCTCCAGCGTTCTCTCGACTTGGCCGGTTTTCAACGTGCATCAAGCCTCGAGACTCAAAGGCCCAGGCCTCTGGGCAGTGGCACCACATTGCCCAGCTGGCGCAGGGTGGTCCGCCCTTCCTGCCGCAGGTGCGCCTGCCGCACGTCAGGCTGAAATTTTTATACAGCTCTTGGGCGATTCGAGCCCTGCCACACGCTTCAAAAACCTATGGCTCATCTTCAAAGGGAGCCCGGGTCTGGCGGTGGTGCCCCTTTCTGTGGTCAGGCTGCAGCTAGTTGAGCCTTTGCAAGGTTTGCCCCCTTCGAAGATGGCACTTGTCCTTGGCCAAACGACCCTTGTGCACTAGGGTTCGGGGATGTGCCAGACTTAGACAAAGGGAGCAGTTTCCTGACAATCTAGAAAACGGTTAGCGCGTTAAAAGAGTAGTAAACTAGTCTCTTTTTTTTTTTAAAGGGGAGGACGGAATAAACCGGAAAAACAAGAAAAAGAAAAGAACAAAAGAGAGAGACAAAACGCGTCCAAACCGTTTTCCGGAAACAAGGCCTACCATTTCTCAGCCTAATTTGGTGAAGCTGCTGCTCGCCCCACGCGGTTTTCTCCTCTCTTCCGCATGGGTTGCGCTTGGAGCCGCAGCATGCCCTGAGTCGCAACCAAAACCTGGCAGTTACTCAAGGAGCCTACCTAAAACCAGCCAAACAAAACAACACACAGAACGGCTTCATGCCGCACCTCTTTATGCTTGGTACTGCCCATAACCCCGTTGAGTTGGCCAGGTGTTGATTGCTCTGACATCTCGCTACTGCGGGTAGCCCCATTTGGGGAATGGCTTTGTCTCATCGCCTAGGCCCATGGAGTCACGGATCTTGGCCTGGGCAACGCTCACCGCTCAAGTTCCGTGCTTTGCCACGGTCAAAACTCCTACGTGGGCGATTTTGCTGTGGTTCTTTTAGTGGAACCCTTGGCAGTATCCTCCAAAACTAGTACATCTGGTAATGAGTTCATGACCAGCCCTAGCAACCCAAGTAAACGTCACACATGTACAGCAAGGGAGTGGTGTGCCATGCATAGCTGAAGTTTGGTGCCACGGTGCTACCCTGTCATCCTTCCGTAGCTTCCGCAAGACTGGCGCCTTCTCCTCAGCGGACCGAAAATTGAATGTCCTGTCTCTCGAGTCTCTTCATGGACGAGGCGCCATGAAATCTGGAGTCCAGTCGGGGAAGAACCTTGGTACACGTGAATGCTTGTAATGAGACGATGCCTGCCGCGCAGTTGCAGATTGCACGCCTGATGCCCATGCATGTGTAGCAACCCTGTTGAAACTATTCTCCCTGTAGTTCTGATGTCCACCCAAGGGAGCCCGAGGAGACGTCCCCTACCCATTCTTGCACCCCGCAGGCGAGGGGCTGGTATGGGTCTGGCTCATTCAGCTCCGGATACTCGCGCGCTTTTCGGAACTTCAAATCCCACCTCAGCGCGAAGGCAGCGCGGTGTCGAGAGAACTTTTGGGCTGGGCCCCGAGCTCATCCCACTTGGACTCGATGAAGTAAATCTGCGGGATTCCCCGGCGCCTCGATTGCTTGCTTTGGCGAAGCTGGCTTATGTGGTTTGGGCCTGTTCATGACCTTTACAGTACGGTCATAAGCCCCACATCAAAGAGAGGGCAGCCAATTTCAGGGCACCGAACCCGTGCCATCAGGCCGACTTTGGGTTCAAAGGCAACCCTCGCTTCGTTCATAAGGATGATGTTCCCCAATTGGTATGGCACTCCAGGTTCAGGAGCAGGGTTTCGAATGGTCATGCAAGCTCCTTACATCAGTGGTTCGCAACCTCCATACCTCCAAAACCCTAAAAACACAATACCCCGGGGTTCGCACCTCCAGAAGTGGTTCGCACCTCCATACAGACCTCCATCATCCCCCATACCTCCAAAACCCTCGGATTGGGATGAAAGCTTCGAAGTTGAAGTTCCCCGTCCGAGGGCAGCACTGGCGCCAGCGTCGGGCTAAGGCAGTCTTCAATCTGCCCTTGTTCACCGCCAGCCACACAAAGGCCTCCCGCTGTTCTAGTCGATCCTTGGCCATGCCCCCAAAAGCCGGACGCACTGTTTTTGTTTTTCTTTTTTCTCCTGGGTTTCCTCCACATCAAGGCTTGGTTGTTGTTGCTTTTTGTTTTTCTGGCTTCCTCGATCAGGGCATAACATGGCCTTTGAGAGTTAGGTCGGAGGGAGGGGTGGGAAGAGGCCCAGGTGGAATTTGATCCCCACTTTGCAGCTTGATCGAATACCAGCCAAATGGCTGAACCACAGCAACCGGGCAACAAAGGGATTCGACATGGGCTACATGTGCCCGATGCCTTTGAATGCTCCAATTTGCTGACTCCCCTCCCTTAAGCTCCCAACACCCACGGCGGCCACATGGACGTAAGCGGCACGACAGCCTTTGCTCATGATGATGTCCTTGGCGCGGTACAGAAACACGCGCCCAAATGAAAGGCGAATATGCCAATTTCATCCAGTTTCCCTTTGGTTTCCCTGTGTGGCAGCCATATGGGGGTTCCAAGCCTCAGCCAAAGGAACGTCACCCAGAGGGATGTCCGCGCCGCGCTTCGCCGAAACCGGCCAGGGCGCATCGATGCGGATCCGCCCTTGGATATCTTCATCGCCGAATCTGTCCAAGGTCACCTCGCACCCTCCGAAGATCTCCTCAAGGGTGCCTCGACAGAGAGCGTGACACGGAACCGCCGCCAAGGAAAAGCTGATATTTACATGGTGTTTTTCTGGGTTCGTTTCAGTAGCGGAACCAGGGACCCCCACCCAAAAGTGTGGGCTCACTTGTAAGCCCAAAGCCAGACAGGACTCACACATGTTCCCTTGTCTAATGACTTTAGCGGTCTTTCTTTAAAACAACCCCAAGAAGGGGGGGTCTCCTCACAACAACGCACTCCAAATAAGCGAGACACCCTTCCCACGTTGCCATGAAATCCACCTGGTATGGGGAAAGTCATCTTTCGAAAACTTCCAGATCAGGTTTCAAGTTGGCCGCTGGGAGGGTAAGACTTTTGCAAACCCCACGGGTGACAAAACACCTTTAAGTCAGTGGTACTATGCAAGCACTTTCGGATGGGCCAACAGAAAGTGCATGATGGAAGGGCACAGCCCCCTACCAAAGGGGATCTTTTGGGAAGGATGTTTGCACGGGCAGGGAATCCCAGTCAACAGGCAAACCTAAAGCCGGATGTCCACCAAACAAGGCGAGCCATGAGCCTTTTCCGAGGTGCTTCGCAGATATGACGCCACCCGAGCTTGATTTCGCGTCTCGATGTGTTTCACCCCGTTGGGATCTCGCCTCGCTGGACGGCAGCAGAGCAATACCCAGACAACATTCACCGGCCTGGTTACATGGTGAAGGGAAAGCAGAAGGAAACCAACAGGTAGAGGGGTCCGACAAATTTGACACATGTGTTTGTTGTGGTTGTTGTTCCCCAACAGCTGAAAGCTTTGGGGTCTCAGCCCAGATAGGCTCCGGGGTGGTCCGGGGCAGGGTTACCAGGGTTCCACCAGGGTTTTACCAGGGTTCCACCAGGGTTTTACTAGGGTTCCACTAGGGTTCCACGAGGTTCTGCGAGGGCTGGGGGGGGGGGGGGGGGGCGGTAGGAACTAAAAATGCCAAAAGCAAATGGAAAATCCATCGCACATCCAAGGCACGCGTGCCAGCCGAATCCGGCACAAACGGTTCTCGGGATGCCGTCTACAGGTCTCCTGACACGAGGAGGTACTGCCAAATGCATCTACTCCCCTGACCAATCACCGAAAATTGAAACCACTCCTTTTGTAGATAGCATTGTCTCCACGACATGGGATCTGCAACCCCGCCCCCCCCCCCAAAAAAAAAAAAAAAAACATGGGAGGGGGGGGTGGAAGAGCTTCTGTTTACACTTGCCTCGCCTCATCCAAAAAGAGCGAGGTGTTCATTTGGTTCCCCTTGAGCCTTGAGCCAACTGCCAGGCCTCCAGCCAGAGCATCGCACCTCAGCGCTGGGCACAAAGGGTTCCAGGGGTTCCACCCTCACACCTCGCCCCAAATTTGTGAACTCATCGGGGCCGAGCTCCACAAGCCGAATGCGCGCCAAGTTGATGCGTTGCGCATCCCAAAGCTGGACCCGCAAAAGCCCGGCCGAACGGACCGAACGGACCGAACGGACCGAAGCGAGCGGCACCGCGCCGCGCGCCCTGCCTGGAGCCCCGTGAAGGCAAGCCGTGAGGCAAGGCACGCGAGGCAAGCCGCCGCGCCTCGAGAGCTTCAACCGACGACCCACGAAACGCTCCGCTCGCTAGAACGGCCAGAATGGCTCGGCAAGAGCCGAGTTCCCGATTCTGGAGCCCCTGCTTTTTGGGGACAGGATCCTCGAAAACGACGGACTTTCATTCGACATGGGGGCGTTGCCCTTTGTCCAAGACAGGCCACCAACTCAAAGGCCCTGGGGCCCAGGCATGCCGCAGCCCTCGCGCTGGCCTTTGCCATCCTGAAGCTGGCACCTGGGCCCTCTAGCGGACCATAGCGCCAGCTTGAAGGCAGCAGCGGCGGTGGCATCGCGGGCACGACATGTGGGGAGTGTCGCACAACTGGATACACTGACACACTCCAAATCAACGTGGAACTCAACAAACCATCGTTTTTGGGGGAATCTTACTTGTTTTGAGGCAACCCCTTGTTCTACAGTGTCATGCGGCAAGCGCCTCGACCAAATTGAAGAACTCCTTGGCATTGCTGGGCCTGTCCAGGCAAATCCTTCCCCTTGGAACTGCTTGAAAGAGCCAAGGCGCAGTAAGGCCTTGGTAGGGCTCCTTGAGAGGGGGTTCCAAGGCGAAGGCTTTGGTCAAAAAAGACTGCTGTGCAATGAAAGTAGCGAAACTGTGTTGTTTTTTGTAACCTCCAGGCATTCATCATGTGAATTTCTTTCTTCCAGGGGAACCCATAATGAACTGTCTGAATTCTTTCCGCGTACTTGGACACCTCTAATTTGTCGCATTTGGCTCACCCCCTGTGGCAAAAAAAAAAGAAAGCAAGGTGAGCGACACACAAGCGGCACCCAGAAGGCCTCACGGGCTTTCTGGCCGCCTGTGGGCAGGTGGAAGGTGCCAACAGAAGGCTCCTTCAAGAGGAAGCTGGGTCAATTTGTTGGGCGCCTTGTCTAGATAAAGGAAAACACCAGGAAACCAAGCACCTGGAGTGGTTGCAGGCGTCACCAGTCAGGCTCCTGCTTAATCAATGCATTGGGAGGGTAAGTAAAGCCTTGAAACGAAATCGTTGAAACGAAATCGCGCTCAGACACTCACACATGCATTTTCCCCACAACTTCAGGTCTGAAATTCGCCCGGCCACAGATGCGTCTCTCAAAAGGCACAGGGCCAGGCGAAGGACGTAACACCCTCGAAAAGCTACCTTTACAAGGCTTTACACAAGCAGAAGCGAAAATTGACGAAATTCTGCAGTCACTCAGCTTGATCAAACGGTGGATGTGTATTGGAGCTTCTGCTTGGAGGTGCAAGCTCCGCGGCCCAAGCGGCTTGAAATGGAAGCTTGCCACATAAAGCCGAGCACCGTTCTCTCTGTGAGGCTGCTTGGGAGCATCACAGACCTAAACCCAAAGCCACGAGGGCTCGTCGAAACGCAGGTGGTCCCCAGCTCGAGAC